GAATTGCTTCACTTTTTCTTAATATGAAAATATAATTGTATAAAATTTCCTAAGTTCTTGTCCCCGGTAGAAGCATGGGAAGCATAGGAAGGAGAATTTGTAGGTAACAAACACTGTTTTCAATGTAAATCGCAACTCTACATTTATGACAAGTAAAGGAGTGCTCAAACATAAGAGCCACATCACAAATGGATTCTAAAATTAGATAATGGATGGACAGAAAACGAAGATCCCCCCTTCCACACTCCCCTCCAGTTTTTAATAGGAATTACATGTAGTAAAGAATAATGTTACTCATAGATCTAATTTGACAATGCAATTTTTTTAGGGGAGATATTTTTGTTTTTTGTTTATTTGGCCGTTTTCCTTTAATTGTACTTAACATAGAACATATAATGGTTAGAGAGTTCTGTTCATTGGTCCTGCAGTCTGGATAAGCTTTGTAACCTTACTAACACAGGCTTGAGGACCCTCTTTACGCCATACTTTATTCCATCAACAATGGAATGTTGACTTTTATGTGTATCTGCAACAGCTTTAAAACTGAAGAAAAAAACAAGAAGAAAAGAATCTGCATTTTTCATTTTATTTATAAATCATATAGAAAGGGAGCTAACTCTGGAATTTCTTTTAGAAGAAAATCTTTACTTACGACAGAGTCCTGAGAGTGTGACACTAATACATTTATTGTGTTATCCATGTCAATCATTCTCCTATGCAAATACATGTATATATTAGAGTATTACTAGCACAATATTATGCGTTAATATAATCTTTTAATATTTTATATTAACTAAATTTTAGTAGCTAGTATATGTATTTTCATTGAATAATTATAAATTATAGAATTCCTTATTGATAAAAGACAGAATTTTTTATTTTATTGGACAGTCTGTAACGCAAGATATTTTACAGTTTTATCTGTTAATACGTTTTGTGAAATAAAGCTGGGAAAATCAGATGATGTAAATGGAGAAATAAGTCGGATGACGGAGAATAGAAGCTTACCTGGGATACTCCTATAAAATCCTGTAAAATATCACACGTTGGATATTGAACATTGGTGAGGTGTAACTTAAGACCTAGCTAGCTGTATATAAGCTGATACAAGCTGCCCATCTAGATTTCCAATATATGAAATGGAAACTTTATGGCTAAAATTTCTTACACTGAACAAAAATCAAGTGTCTGCATAAAAATTAGCAGAGTTGAGGATTTTTTTTTATTACTATCTACTGAGGATTTTTTTTTATTACTATCTACTGAGGATTTTTTTTTTATTACTATCTACTGAGGATTTTTTTTTTAAAATTACTGTCTACTGATTGTTCATAGAAATTAATCGACAATTGAGAGAACTTTATTTTTTGGTTATTTGCTGCAGACTTTATTGTTTTTTTCTTAAAAAGGAGAGAAAAAAAAACCCTAATAACTTTAGAATGCAAATTTTAGTTATAAATCAAATTTTAAGTCTTACAAAAAAGCTATACTATTAGTGCATACAATTTGTGGTCTGAAATCTCATCAGTTGATAATTTACTGCACCATGGAATCTGCACTGGGTAAGTACTTTATCTACTAGAACTAATTTTTCTGTAATAATCTATATACAGTATTTTTTTTCAAGGGGAGGGCCGGAGGGGTGGGGAGGAGGGCTCAATGGATTTGTGAGAATTTTATTATTCTTTCTCTACAATTCATCTGTGAAGAACCTTTTCTTTTAGTAGATAATTTGTTGAAGGGTTCAAGGATCGATTTGTGAGAATGTTATACTCTCTGTACAATATTCTAACTCTTCATCTGTGTTGAAGAAATTTTTAGCAAATAATGTGTTGCATCATATCTTGTATATTAAATGGAATTAATTAGACTTAAAAGGCTATAGCAAACTGTTTTGTCTTAACCTTGAACACATTTTCCCAGGGCAGGGAGGGATATTTCATATTATTAAAAATATATGTAAAAGTGAACTTATGTTATTTTTTGGAAGGGGGACAAATTTCTTTTAATTTTTTTCATATAATTACTGCTATTATTAACCTTTAAAAAAGAATAAAATGAAAAGTAAATAACTTGCGATGCTATCTTTTCTTGAACAATATGTGTATAAAATGAAATGTAGAAGTTCATACAAAGTGCTCCTGATACTTTGAGGTAATAGTCCACCTACAAGTGGAAGGCCATGAGAGACTTTTGTCCTATTCTCACTGACCAGACAGGTGCCACATAGGATTACCTGTGACTTACCTAGAAATTTCTGTGTATGGAGGAATTAGTGCTAGCTTGATCACCTCTTGGATAACTAAGACTTCTGTCTATATTCTGCTCACTAGGAATTGATTTCTACATTGGAGAAGCTGTGTACCAGTATTATGTTGTTACAGCGTGATCTTTGATGGGGGGATTTTATTCATGTCAACCATGAGTGAGTGTTATACTGTAGATTTAGGCTGAACTATCTGAGATAGATAAGCATTATATTGTTTATGTATATTGTAAAAGATTTTTTTTTTAAATTCACTTTAATTAGATTTTTTTTATCTTAAATATATTTGTGTGATTGAACTTGTTTCTTTTTACTTAGAGATTAACTTTCAGCGAATTATACTTCTTTCATAATTTAGTACATGTAGTAAATAAATATTTGTACAACACTATATGTACCCTCTTATTACCTGAAACAAAAATAAAATTGAACAATTATCTTACTATAATAATTGGCATACTGTAGTGTTTTAAGGTTCAAGAAAACTTTCATGCTAATTAAGATCATTCTAGAATATTTCTGATATTTGCATAGTAAAATTATAATGAAGATACAGGTTAGTTTTCTAGTAGTAGGACTTGATTATCTTTGTTTCCATGGTTATTTCTGAGGGTGACCGAGCGTTGGAAAATTTGACATTTGTATTAGTTAAGCTAATCTTGACAAAGAGAGAACTAGCATACTTATCGTGCTTATCATACTATTTAATGGAGGGGCTCTTAATCAGGTCTATTTCCCAGTCCTAATGACATAACAGTTGCTCGCGTATGGTGTCATATATCAGGGATCCTTAAGGTTTTGATGCTGTTTGTGACATTACATTCTGTTCACCCCTTAACTGAAAGCCCTCTGTTACAGTAACCTGCTTATAATACTGTATGTGTACTTAAAAGAGCGGGCTTCATATTTTAGTGGCTTTGGCACAGACAATGATGCGGTAATTCATGAATACCAGTAAGAAATCATTTATAAATACAAAATACGGCACGGACATGTATAGCGATAATTCATGATTTTGCCAACAACTCAATACCCAGTGATTGTGCTAAATTTTGAATATACTAATTTATGTACACATACAGTATTTTATTTAAAGAAGGTGGATAGGATTAAGCCTTCATCCAACCTAAAGTCTGTCCACTTCTCTAAAGAGAAAACATTCCTACAAGAGGATCGAAGAAAGAAATTAAAAAATCGGTCAGAATTTGGAATACTTTCACAGAGAAATTCAAGGAGTATTTAGGGGATCATTTCCCCTCAATTTCAGTACTTTCAGAAATTTTAAGGAAGGTGTTATTGAATATACCATCATGGTGCAGTGTATTTATAGACTGCAAAACTACATACAATTTAAAAAAGTATATATACATTCATTCAAACATCATAATGAATCCATAATTTTATTATCTTATTATGCATTTATTTCATACCTAATGATCTTAGCATCATAGTGACCTTTTGATAGAGAAAAGCTTAAGTTTACACGAGACAGTACTAGTGACATATAACTGTCATAATTAGAGCAGTGAGTCCGGTCACTGTAATCAATGTTATAGGTCAGTTTCCTGAGTGCACTAGCCATGATAGTTCTGATTAATTGTCACAAGTCATAGTAAAGTCCCTCTGACGTGTTCAGTAAAAAGATTCAGAAAATTATAAATCTCTTTGCAACCAAAATTTACCAAAAAGATGCACATGCTACTGCTTTTTAAGCTCTGCATGCTTACCAGGAACCAGAGGAGCTTATGCATTAGTAAGGTGTCCATCATTTGTCTGTTTGTCCATCCGTCTGTCTGTAAACAATTTTTCAGAACCCCATTCCTCCTAGTGTGGTCTGATTTCAGTTGGACTTTGTACACAAGTAGAAGTTGTATTAAGATATTATATCTATATCCATGCATTTCTGATTACAACAAATAGTGCTGTCTTCAGGTTAACAAAAAATTCATTCAAATAAAAATACAATTTTTTGTGAATGCTTTCAAAATGCCATTCCTACTGCAGTTTAGATCTGATTTCAGTAAAACTTTGTACAAAAGTGGACTATACTTAGATACATGATTCTTTTGCAGGATTTTTGATTTTGTTGAAGGATGTTGCCATGGTTACTAAAAATAGAAAGTTCAAACGTTCAAACTCTACTCTAAGACTACCTTTGGTCTGATTTCAATAAGACTTCATATGCAAGTAGATTATACAAAAATGCATAATTCTGTATAAATGCGTCTGATTTCGATGAACGGTGTTGCCAGGGTTATTAAAAATAAAAATTTCTGTGAAATTCTATCAAAGTGCTACTCCTCCTACAGTTTTGGTCTGATATCAATGACTTGGTACTAATTAATAAGTGAACTATACTAAAATGCATAACTTATTAATCAGTTTCTAATTTTGATGAACAGTGTTGCCTTGGTTATTGTAAAATTCTTTCAAAACGCTACTCTGTCTACAGTTTTGGTCCTAGTCATAAGTTCTTTTGTAAAACGGGGCCCTGGTGCACAGGTAAACTGAACTCAAAGACCATAATTCTTTTTTGGCAGGCCATGGCTCAACTAAGTTTCAAGTCCAAATGCTGTTTTTCTTTACTATGAGTACACACTAGTAGAGCTACAGCTTTGTCGTAGACTTCTGGTTGTGTAGATTCTTAGTGTTCATTGTAAATTGCTAGTCAAGATGTTCATACAAAATTGGATTGACTAAAAATTCACATTATATATATACTTTTTTTTTTCAGACTTTAATCTATTTGACAATCTGTTCCTAACACCGGACCAAGGTGGACAAATGGATCCTTCCCTTCCGGGGGTGGACAAATTTCCTGGGGTTATAGAGCCATACTTCAGCCATCGGAAAAAAAGGATGTCTGTTGAGTAAGTCATCAGGATAGACCATTAAAATATGCACATCTCATTAAATATTTAGCTTTTAAGTCTTTATGGGGATACATGTATATCTGCAGAATATATTAAATAAAGCTAGTGTTGGAAAATCGGACCAAATTTACTATCAATTACCGCATAAGTGGAAATTTTAACAAGTCACAAATTTAGTGATTTGTCCTGAAAAATCTATATATAATTTTAGCAAAAAATAATTTTAGTGATTTTACGAAAATTAGAAATATAATGGTAACCTCCAATGCGGTAAGAATTATTAGCGATATTCAATTTTAGTGATCTCAAAACCCTCGCTAAAAATGCCCAAATTTAATCCTAGCTAAAATTTCTGCTTGAATCAATGGCATACAATAGATTGTAAGATAGATAGTTTGAACTTTAATTAAAAGTAACATTAAATCAAGTTAACTATGTAAGTATTCAGACATCCTTGTAAATGAAAACAATTTTTCAATACAAATGAAAAAAATGAAAGATGTGGCAGATATCAACATCCAAACATGCATAGTTGGCAAGTTTGTCCACCATTTACAAGAGAAATAAAGTAATGTTTTATGATAATGTTAAGAGATAAACCAATTTGGTTGAAAAAATATATTTTCAATAAAAATAGCGACTATTGATTTTGAAGCTTTCTATCAATTGTCGCTGACCCGCTGCCTTCAGCGATGATTTTTCGATAGTCGGAGACTATGTTACATATAACAACACTATATAAATTTATCATGGTTTTTGATTCCAGTATTGTCCTCAGTTTAAAATATGTTCTGTTTTCAATTTTTCTCTGCTCACCTTAATTAGACTTCCATTTTCTGATTCAGAGTTTGTCCTTTTGTCTATATGTTGTGAATGATAGTTCATTTTTTAAGTTTTCCCAAAACCACTGAACTGATAGCAACCAAAGTTTTCACAAAATCATCTTTTGGATAAAAGGATAACAATTTATAGTGGCTCTAGTTGATCTGCATGTTTTTTAATCTTCTCATTCATTCATACTTTATTTCCCTCATTTGAGATGATTCTACAATAAACAAAAGATAAATTAGTTAAATAATTATAAATAAATAAAAAGTATTGACATATTTACAAATTTGTAAACTGATAGCCACTGTATTATGCTAGTGTGATTGGTTGGCAAATTTGCTACTGGAATTGAAGGGGTAACACGTTGCAACATTTATTACTTGGTATGTATCAAATGTTGATCATATTAAGTTGCCGGGGAGATCTTTTACAGGTAGTAAATGAAATCAAACTTGTTGTAAAAGTACACGGAGAAGAAAGTTTACAGATTTTCCTTATATGTGATTCTCTAGTGTTCTTTTTTGATTGCCCTTGTCACACAATATTAATTTCTGGAAATTGGAATTTTCAGGTTTTTGGAGATTGAATGGTACATATAAAATTTACAAATTTAGTTCCTTTGATTAAAATTAACTTGTGCCAAATCTTCATGCAAACCCAGATTTAAATGGTTTTAATAACATTTTTGAGTTTAACAAAAATAAAAAAGAAATATTTAAATAAATAAATAAAATTAAAACAAAAACGAAAATTATTTCTGAAGAAATTTCATGCTATCTTTTTAACTGGCTTCAATCCAACTTATGAGTGTTCCAAGAACACAAAGTCAATCCAACTAGAGTGTTCCAAGAACACAAAATCAATCAAACTAGAGTGTTCCAAGGAACACAAAATCAATCCAACTAGAGTGTTCCAAGAATGCATAATCAATCCAACTAGAGTGTTCCAAGGAACACATAATCCAACTAGAGTGCTGCAAGGAACACAAAATCAATCCAACTAGAGTGTTCCAAGAATGCATAATCAATCCAACTAGAGTGCTCCAAGGAACACATAATCCAACTAAAGTGCTCTAAGGAACACATAATCAAACAACTAGAGTGTTCCAAGAACACATAATCAATCCAACTAGAGTGCTGCAAGGAACACATAATCAAACAGCTAGAGTGTTCCAAGAATGCATAATCAATCCAACTAGAGTGTTCCAAGGAACACTTAATCAATCCAACTAGAGTGCCATGTTCCAAGGAACACAAAATCAATCCAACAAGACTGTTCCAAGAAACACTCAAACAATCCAACTAGAGTGCCGTGTTTCAATTAGGAATACATAATCAATCCAACTAGAGTGCTCCAAAAAACACAAAATCAATCTGACTGGAGTGCCATGTTCCAAGGAAAACATAACATAATTAATCCAACTAGAGTGTTCCAAAGAACACAGGATCAATCTAACTAGAGTGCTCCAAAAACACATAATCAATCCAACTGGAGTGTTCCAAGGAACACATAATCATGTTGCTGGGAAAAGCAAAAGGACTATGATCAAAACTTAAGAAAAATATGGTCAACATTTTATTTACTTGAATTGTAGTGTTTATATATAGGTAATGCATTAGATTTGCCTGAAAAGAAAAAGAACTCACTGTATAGTAAGGCTGTATGGTATTGATAATAAAGGTGACAAAAATAAAAATATTATTCCATTAGGAATAAAATGAAAAAAAGTGATTTTTTTTTTTATCAATTACTTTTTACTTAATTACCACCTTTCAAGTTGTTTACTCCAAGTTCATAAGAAGAACTTTATCTGCCCTTGTGTGATAATTAAAACTTGTATTATGATTTCTTGAAAATAACTAAATAATTGAATTTTCAATCTAAAATAAAATATGAAAAACAAAACAAGAATGTATTATTCCTGTTGGATGTGTAAAAGGAAAGTGAAAGCTCAATAAATAAACTGTAAAAATAAACAAGTGATACTTCCCAGTATGAAACATACACAGGGGCAGATCATTAAAGGTGCTTGGACACAGATTTGAAGTTAATATTTTCTCAAATTTTCTGTATAATTTCTTGACTTATGTGTTGCTATAGCATTTCATACTAAAATAAAATAAAAATCTTATTTCATCTCGAAGTTATTGAAACTTCAAATTTCTGGACGCGTTTGATTGACACATCCTTGCACTTTCACAAATTTTGATTTTATTCTTAATACTTAAGAAAAGTGGCAATTTTGTTGTGTATTAATGAAAAATATTAGAACTATAATCCAGAAAATTCAGAGTAGAAATGTTCGAAAGCAAAACCCACTCACAGTATTGTCAGTCTGTGCTCAGTGGTGTGTGCAGACTTTAACAATTGAACACACCCGGTGAACCGTATACATTACCAATAACAGAGCTCGTGCCCTGTGTACAAAAACAGTTTACGTTTCACGGGTGTATTCAATTTGTTAAACTCTGTACACAACACTGAGCACGGGCTAACGATATTAGTGAGAGGGTTTGCTTTCGCACATTTCTACTCTGAATTTTCTGAATTATAGATGTAATGTTTTTCATTAATACACAACAAAATCGCTTCTTTTCTTAAATATTAAGGATAAAGATAAAATTTGTGAAAGTGCAATGATGTGTTAATCAAACGCGTCTAGGAATTCGTAGTTCCAATAATTTCTAGATAACATAAGTTTTTAATTATATTTTCGTGCGAAATGCTATTGCAATATATAAGTCGTGATATTATACAGAAAATTTGAGAAAACATTAACTTCAAATCTGTGTCTAAGCACCTTTAAATGACCAGGCTAGGCATATCTGCATATAGAACTTACAGTAAAAATCCCAACATCTGACCTATGTACATGTATTAATAAGGAAATAGTTAAGTGGTATACTCACTTTTATTACATAATGAATATTTTCAGTAATGCAATGAGGATGAAAGGGGTGAAAATAAAATAGGGCCAAATATTTCCCTGTATGCAGTATTTTCTATTCAACACAGGGTACCAGCTATTTATCCCCAGGAAAAATGTTCAAAGACATTGCAGTATTGATGAACAGAAATCACTGTTGCTTACTTGAATCATATGGGAAAAGACATGCAAAAAAGTGTTTAGTTATTTCATCTTGACCTAATAAAATGTTAAGAATGCTTGAATTGATGACATCTTGAGTAATACAAGTTAGAATAATCTAACTGTGTCTCGGGACAAGCTCTCACCACAGTTAGAATATGTCCCATATACTTGCAATGTATCAAATCGGAGTGGATCCACTCGGAAATGATTTTGAAGAAAACAAAAGGAGTTGCACTGAAAATAACTACCAAATTAATCATAACAAACCTTTTTGAGATGGTATATGTCTTTTAACCTAAAAAATAATCCATATAAATATGAAAATTCAACTCATTTTCTCGACGTTTTTTCCTCGCTTCAAATTTAACGCCATGTTGACATTCAGAACTCTCTGGATTGTTCATAGAAAATGCACAGAGTATGAGTTATCGCCTGTGTTTATTTTGCAACATTGCCAATACACGGAACGGATTCTATCGTTAAACCGGGTCCATAGGACAATATCATTTTAACGATAGAACTTTCTATCTAGAGTAATACACTGTACGTTTCAATTTATTTTATTTTATATCTAAGGGCAGATCACTCTAACTGCATAAATAATATATACCACAGGATTAAAATGATTTATGTGCAATGTATAGAGAGTCCTTAAAACATATACATGTATGCATAGATGTGTACCAGGGTATGTTCAATTGAACAATGCTGCAGACTTGTAACTGGAGAAAGCTTTCAGTCTTACTTCTGAATGACTTACCTATACTACAAATGTCAGCCAGCAGCTTGACTTGAATTAAGTACTATATTAGTCAGTATAGTGATCCCAATTCATTTCATACACCGACCTTAAATTTCAGTGTATATCGCATAATTTGAAAGTCAGTTTTATGATTTCATAACATGCAATATATATGCTTATTAATGTAAACCAACTTTTATTTGTAAGTTTTACGACCTTCTTTTACATGCAAATATTTCTAGTCACAAACCACTTACCACTTAATTAAGTGTAGAATCCTTTACACCACTTACTTAAGTGTAGAATCCTTTAAATTTAAAGTCATGCATGGATTTCAGACTGCGGAATCTCGATTTAAAGTTGTTACAAATTATAATAGTTGGTTTACAAGGTTTCAAAGCCCAGCTAACACTAAGTCCATATAACGTATACGTTAAATGAAATTAATTTTTTTTTGAATTTCAAACATTATAGAGTGTACGTGCCTTATTGGCTTGATAGTTGTAGCATGAACATTGCCTTTTTAGGTCATCTGAGTTACTCAGGTGACCTATTGCTATCCATCTTTGTCTGTCATCATGCATATTCCGTTGTGTGTTGTGCATTAACTTTTGAACATTTTCAACTTCTTCTCTAAAACCGCTAAACCAATTTCAACCAATTTTGGTATGTAGCATCTATGGGTGAAGGGAAACAAAAATTGTGAATTTCATTGTCCCTACCCCCTCTGGGACCTGAGGGGTGGGGCTAAAGCTACCAAAATTGATGCAATCTTTAAAAATCTTCTTCTTTACTCCTGGACATCAAGCAGTCAAACTGTTGGCATGATTGTAATAAGCAATTTGGGCCCTCTACCAAAATTGTGAAATTCATGGCCCCTGGGTCAGGGTTCTGGTGCTAGGACGGGGCTATATAAATCATTTATGGAAAGTGCATTATTTCTTTGAAAATCTTTTTCTCTTCACCTGGGTATTATTTAAACAAACTAAGTGCATTGTTAAGATAAGCAATGATGCCTTTTCCAAAATTGTGAATTTCATGGCCCCTGGGTCAGGGGCTCTGGTGTTGGGTGGGACTCTATTGATTATACAGTACAATTCGTTTATTATCATAATTTATTTGTCAGGCCAAAACTTTATAATAAGCGGCTATTATAATAACCATGGTCTGTTAAAATTCTTAAAAAAAAAAATATGATGAAACATTAGGTATGTCTGTGTTCTTTTTCACATCTTATGTTAATTTCGTTTTTGCTTTTCAGGCTTCTTTAAATGACAAGATAATTAACTATCATCATATTTACTTACTGTCTCAAGACATTTTTCAATCAATAAATCAAAAAATTCACTTAAATATCGTTAAACACTATTCAAAGTTTTATATCACTTAGCATTCATCTTTCTACTTTCATTTTCAACTCTGATCAATTCATACAACCGACATTTCGTTTTATTACGTCGCCTTACAAATAAAATAATACCAAAAAAATTGAATACAATCAAAACGAGGCCGTAATTATAGCTTAAACAAAACACATTTGCACCAAGCGGTTTGCCACAATTTACACTCAATGTTGCCGCGTAATAAAAAAAAATTGACACTGATAAAAATTCAAAGCCACTTGTAAGAATCAAATCGACTTCACAACTTCTTAATTAATCTCTTAATTTAAGATTGTAGACAAATATGAAGAATAATTAAGAAACCAAACGATCAGAGGACTGAGTTAATAGACGTACGTTTGTATAGGTTCATTTCGAAATTTTGTAAAATATGTTTATTATCAGTGTACAAATTGAAGAAAAATACATATGCGAATGGTTTTAAATAGAAACTGTAACTGCACCCTGAACTTGTGTACAGCAAGAAATAGACAAGTAACTTGTCAATCGCTCAGGTAAGTGCACAGGTGTGTGACTAATCATCCCAATCCTCCACTGTCGGTAAATTTCAAAGTGAAATTCAAGCCACTAGGTATAGACAATGAGGGTTAGGTCTCTGACATGACCTGCCGGTGTGAATAGGTGTGATCTTTTTGTTTTGTTGAGTGTCCCAAGGGTGAAAAGGTGTGAAAAAAATATTACATATGAAGATTTTCTATTATAGTAAACGGAGTGTACACTTTTACCTATGATAATAAAAAGAGGAATTTACATTGAATTATTAAGAAATGGTTTTGTGTTTCAAATATGTATGATAAAAAAGAAGTATGATATAAAACCGGTATGATAAAAAACATATTGTACTGTATAGTGAAAATGCATAAATTCTTTGAAATCTTCTTCTTTGCTCCTGGGTATTATTTAAACAAACTAAGTGTATAGTTATGATGAACAAGAGTGTTTCTTCCAGAATTGTGAGTTTCATGGGTTCTAGGTCAGATGTTCTGGTGTAAGGGTCGGGCTCTATTGATAATATAGTGAAAATGCATTAACTCTGTTAAATTATCCTGTCTGCTCCTTAGTGTTGAGCAGATAAACAAAGTGCATAGTTATGATGAACAATTGTCATGCTTCTTACAAAATTTTTTAAACTTGTGGTCCCAGGTTTTGGTGTTTCTCGGGGGGGGGGGGGGGGGGGGAACAAAGCTCAAAGCTTCATCTATTAGTTTATTTATACTCTATGGATCGATCCTCTTAATTGTTGTATCATACTCAGGTGACTGTTAAGGCCCTTGGGCCTCTTGTTTTAATTTGCTGAAAATTTCAGTATATACCGTTGATGTATATGCCATCGCCTACACCTATATATACAGAACACAGTCTTGCATACAGTAGTCTCGTCAAAATATTGTAAAACTGCAAAAACCAATAAAAATATTTGATAGCCCAAGAGAATGTTGTCAGCTTCTTTTGCTGCAATAACAATATTTGATCTCGCTGACGAGTCAGGGAAACTGCATTTTGTACAATCCAGTAACATGATAAAGTAAATATTTAGGTAAGGTGAGGCTTTTATGTGTTAGACTAATTAAAAAAAATATGTTATTGAAAACAATATATGCAAAATTAGTGAATCATTTCAGTGGGGTATTATGTGTACTTTAATTTGACGTTTATGTTTTATTGGTCAGTTGGAGTACTTGCACAACACTGGATACAAATGAAGACGATTCATTGATGGAGTATGATCATAGAAAAGTCACTGGCTCCAAGTATGTAATTGTTTGTTTCAAATCAGTTAAAATATGGAACATTATAGAACTACGTCCAAATGCTGTATAAGCTGTCTCAAAGTCAGCAGTACTATAGAACATTAAGCCATGGAAAGGTTCACAAGCTAGAACAGAACATGCATCCATATACTGTATAAACTGTATCAAAGTCTCTAGAAATATGAAACAAAATGTTAGAGAGCTTCACAATTAGTTTTGAAACATATATCAGCAGACCTTGAGGTCTGACAACGTTCCTCAATAATACATAATTTTTCCAAAGACCTCGACGTTTAGGTATTGCTACTGTACCAAGTGTCCTCACAAAAAATGGTATTACCAGGCATCTGTGCAAGATTCCAGAATATGATATATCCTGTATATTCAAAATCTTTTGAATTGCTGATGTCACAATTTTTGATATAGATATTTTGATAAGACATTTTGCACATAGTTTTATAAATCAATGGATATGAATATGAACACATAGTCACGGAAAGCTTCGAATGTCAGAAAACATACATCCAAATATTAGCACTGCTTTACTGGAACATTTTATAGTTATTATGTTATTTTTACTTCGTTATTATTCAATGTCTCCTTGTTCTAAAATCCTAGCCAGCTCTCACCAATGTCACTTAATTGGCATTTTCAGTATTAACTGATTATGACCAAGAAATCTGTGTTCATTTGTTAGGACCTTCTACATAGTAAATGAACATACTCTTTGAAGCTTTAACTTAAAAGAAATGAATTTACAGAGGAGGGTTAAAAATTAAATATTCTGTCTCAAATCCTTACTTTAGTCATTTGTTTATTGGTACAGTGCCGTACACCAAATAAAGGGTATTTTCTGCAATTAAGAAGTTTTGCAGTTTGTTCCAACAAAAGATGCATCAAAATTGAAGTCCGTACATGTTTAGTATTTAATATGATTCCATGTAAATGTAAAGATATGGGATTTGAATACTGTAGATTCCTAAATATATGCAAAAAATTAATTATTGTATAATTTTGCAGGAAGCATCACTCACAAAGTAACTTTTCTTTTATTAGCTCACCAAAGCTAAGACTCAGGTGAGCTTTTCTGATCAAAATTGTCTATTGTGGTTGTCGTCATAAACTTTTCACATTTTCATCTTCTTCTCCAGAACCAATCTCAACCAAACTTGGCACAGATTATCCTTGGGTGAAGAGGATTCAAAAGAAGTGCCACATCCTCTAATAGGGGAAGATAATTAAAAAAATAGTTTACATTGGATGAAATCATTTAAAAATTCCTCTTCTCAAGAATCATTGGATCAGAGAGAATGAAACACTTTTAAGCCTCATTACATAGGGTAGATTCAAATTTGTTCAAATTGTGACCTTGGGGGGTAGAGTGGGGCCAGTACAATGGGCAATCAAAGTTTTATATAGAAATACATAGGAAAAATATTTAATAAAGAACAGGAAAGCTATGATTAGCTGTATTTTATATGGGTGCATTCTCAGGAAGTGTAGACTTAGGTTCATACAAATCATGACCTCCGGGGGTAGGGTTGGGCCACAGTGGGCGATCAGTAATTTAATTTAGGAATACAGAGGAAAAATTTTCTTGTGAAAGCAAAGCCATGATTAGCCCTATTTAAATGGAAGAAACTGCAGGTAGTGTAGATTCAAGTTTGGTCAAATCATGACCCCCAGGGGTAGGGTGGGGCCACAATATGTGATTAAAGTTTTACTTAAGCAGATATTGGAAAAAATATTTACAATTATATCATCTTATCATAAACAGCAAAGCCATGATTAGCTATATTGATACGGAAGCAATTCAGCAGTAGTGTCAAATTTAGGTACATTAACAGGCACTTTTGCAAGATTCCAGAGGATGGTATAGAATAGTTGGCTACAGTGTCAAAGTTTTTACTGTAGTAAACAAATTATTTTTACTTATTCCAAATTGCTATATTTCGTTTTCTCCGAGTCTTACATGCATTTTTCTGATATTAAAAGGAAATATTACTTGTATTTCCACATATTATTTCTAACATTTACATCATTTGTGTGTAATGAAAGAAATATTAAGGCCCTACATCTCAAAAAATTTCAATAGTGAAGTACCAAGTCCAAGTATTTACTGTCGTTAACTTATGTGAACTAAAGTAAACTATATTTAACTATAGTAAGTTTTTTATTAGCATTGTCCTTCAGATGACCTCTAATTTTCAATATCATTACAGACACCCCCCTTAATTATATCCACACAATGTGAAATGTCTCTTAATGGCTGGGAATACCAGCCTATCACATACATGCTGAGTTTCTCCTGACTCTTCCTTGAATTAAGTGACAATTAATCAGTATCATCTTATTCCAGCAAATCTTTTTTTATATTGTTTAATTTTTTTCTGTTTAGGTCAAAAAACACTATGATGGACTCTCAGACAGGAAATGACAGGTAAGTTTCTAATTTATTTCAGAGTCTTTTATTCTTTGTATTGATAAAGTCGTAACCAGTGGATATGACATTTAGAAACATAACAGGATTACATGTGGCAATTGAAGAACTTTCTCAGCTAAGAAATTCAAGCCCTGTCAAGTCCCTATCATTTTTAATGTTTATTAGTGAAAATTTATTTATTAAACTTCCCAACATTCCAAAAATTCAATTCTGGAACCTTTCAGATTATACGAAACATATGAAAAATGACTTAACCTGAATTTTTTCTGCTCTCATAGATGAAATGATTATTTTAACGTTCCACTCACATTTTATGTATTATATTTCTAGTTTATTTGCAAGAGCTTTATTTTTACATAATTATGCGAGACCTTCTGCTGGTGAAAATTTCATTCTCAAGTATTTTCATATTATAAAAGATTATATAAACAATAATTAAAATTTGTGAAAATTTTGTCTCACATATGAATACCAAATAACTATCTTGCAAAAATAAGGTTTTACAAATATTTGGTTATTTACAGTATTTGCATTGTACAATACAATGATTTAGCAACCCTCAGAGTACAATATTCACCTCACCCTTTGGCCTAGGTGAATATTCTACTCTTCAGGTAGCTCAATGTATTGACCTCAAAAACAGCAGTAATTGTATATATCTGCATAGTGTAGATTATATGATTTGAAAACTAAATAATTAAATAGATGACATTAATGATTTTACAAAAAGCAAATCACATATTATCTTTTACTCTGGCAGACAAAACCACAGTGAGATTGAGAAAAGGAGGAGAGACAAAATGAATGCTTACATCACCGAGTTGTCTTCAATGCTCCCAATGTGTAACGCCATGAACAGAAAACTGGACAAGTTAACTGTGTTACGAATGGCGGTACAGCATCTCAAGTCCCTCAGAGGTAAACAATCTCAGGGTATATTAGATAAAAAAAGTAATCTACCATGGCAGTGCAATCCACAACTACTAGATTATAAACTTTTTTCAAATGCTTTTGGCTGTTTGAGAGACAAGTCTTTGAAAAAGGTTACAATGTATGTTACTTTAGAAATTGGAAACGTTGCTTTTTGCTGACGGTATTGTTAGAAGCGATGTTTTAGAAAAACATTGCTTAATGCTGATGGCTTAATATAAGAGACTGTTTAAAAAGCTTTAATAAGTATTGCTTAATGCTGCTGAGTTTCTGAGAAATGTGGCTTAATGCTGTTGGATTTTTAGAAATATTGTTCAAGGAATATGTTTCTTTATGCTGAAAAGATGATTTTATTAACAGCAATGTAACTACAAAATGCTGCGAGGTGGGAAATTTTGCTCCAATTATTTTATATCTTTATAGTGAATAATAAGAAATGTATTTATATGATCATAAGGAAATAACCAAAATTATTAAGCAGATATGGAAATCCATACTGTAATGATAGATAACAGATAAGCTTTGAATGGTCAATATTATATTTAACAGAAGGTGCAGCTATGTCGATACCTGAAGCTCGACCCTCCTTTCTCTCTGACGATGATCTCAAACATCTAATTCTAGAGGTAAGTTCTCTTTGAAAGAGCACTAAGTGCCAAGTGCTCAAAGGTGTCTTGGTACATTCCTTTAAGTTACCAATAAGATTTTTTGGACAACCGACATGTCACAATACTAGAAACTAGTCTGAATTATGTTCATCAGTCATTGACAGGTTATTTACATAACATGTAGATTGCTTTCCGTCCATAAATCTGTACGATTGTTGATGCATCCACACTTTATCACTGGCTTTGCCAAGGTCTTTTGTGCGTTAAGATTGGTAACTGTTTCTATTGACTATCTGCAACAATTAGTGGGTACTTTGGCCTTCTTTTAGAATTGACCATATCAGCAATTTCCAATCTGCAATTCATAGACTACACTTGTATTTTTTAGTGCAGAAAAAATTCATTATTTTCACAAAAGACTGCTTATTGGAAGGTATTTATAGACATGACATTGACATAATTTGAGATAAATCATGTGACTGTATTTTTTTAGCATAGAAATAATATTTTAAACAAGACTGGTTATTAGAAGGTATTGATACATTGACGTAGGATAATTATACCCCCTCCCCAACCCCCCGAAGGAAGCTGTAGGAGGGAATGTATACTTAAATCACCATTTGTGTTTGGCCCTAAGTAGATCTATAAATCCAAGGTTTAAAAAAGAAATATTATGAATTTTAGATCACCTTTACAAAGTTGGGGAGCTTATGTAATACCCTTGGCATCAATTTCAGTGTCCTAGGTTAATGTTTTTTGGAGCAATTTTATTTCAAGTGTTTCTATACCCTATGTTGATCATAGCAGCATGGGTGATGCATTTAGTATGTTTCATTGTACCATTCAGGTTTCATATGCTGCATTTTCAGCAAATTTTTCCAGAAGAATGACCAGGTTAATGTTTTTGGAGCAAGACTCATTCCCAAGTAACTATCTGCCCTACCTGGACCAAACTTGCAGGGATGATGTTGCATCTATAGATGGACACAACCAATCCTGCTTTGGATACTGGATTCTGAACTATATTTTCCAATTGAATAACCAGGTTAAAGTTTTAAGAATGTTTTATGATTTTTGACCCAGTGAACTTGAAGTTTGACCTACATTTGAAAAATTTTAACATTTGTGATAAGTATTGAATGAGAGTAGATAGGATGTGTTTATATTTGAAATGTGCATTACCTGTGACAAGGCCTTTCCAATTATACTATGATTCTTGACCCTTGAACTTTGACCTACTTTTCTAAAATTTTAACATTGATGATGACTTTTGAATGAGAGAAGATAGGACAATTATATTTGACCTGTGCTCTACCTGTGACAAGACCTTTCGAAATATACTTTTGATCCCATGACTTTTACCTTGAAGTTTGATTTTGAATGAGAGAAGATGGGGTGTTCCTAATTGACATGTCCATTACCTGATACAAGTCCTCTCAGAAAAAAAAACCTATCATGATGCACAGTGCCACTCTGTAAGTGTTTCATTTTTTGTGAAAGTTTCATGAAATTGTAGACATCTCTTTATGAGTGAAAAATTCTCAAATGGGACATAAAACAACATACAATCAACCAGTCAATCATTAAATTGTATTCAGTGGTGTACAGGATTTGCAGATAAGATGGCTACCTCCAAACTTTTCTTGTTTCTACCGTTTTTTGGTCAGATTTGGGCCACAGTGCTCACCTGAGTAACTATGGCCCTTCTGTTCTTTATCAGCAGATTTTCCCCCAACATATTCCTATGTAGAAGTAAGATAATATAGTGTGGCCCCACCCTACCCCAAGCTCCACCCTACCCCAGGGTGTCATGATTTGAATAAACTTGAATCTAAGGATGCTTCCATATATATTCATGTACATGACTAATCATGGCTTTGCCGTTCTGAAGAAGAAGTCTTTAAAGATTTTTTTTCTATATTTTCTTATGTAAAACTTTGATTGACCATTGTGGCCCCTTCCTATCCCTGTGGGTCATGATTTGAACAAATTAGAATCTACACTACCTGAAGATGCTTCAGTATATATATAACTAATCATGGCTTTGTGGCTTTGCTGTTCTTGAGATAAAGAATTTCAAAGATTTTCCCATGTATTCCTATGAAAAACTTTGATCGCCCATAGTGGCTCCTCCTTATCCTCAGGGGTCATGACTTGAACAAAATTTAATCTACACTACCTGAGGATGCTTCCATATAAATACAATTAATCATGATGTTGCTGATCTTGAAAAGAAAAATTCTAAATATTTTTTTCTATGTATTCCTATGAAAAACTTCGATCACCCACAGTGGCCCCCACCCTACCCGCGGGGGTCATGATTTGAACAAATTTGAATCAACACAACTTGAGGATGCTTCCATCTAAATATGACTTAATATCATGACATTGCTGTTCTTGAGAAGAAGAATTTTAAAGATTTTTCTTAAGTATTTTTATGTAAAAATTTGATTTCCCATAGTGGCCCTAATACCCTACCCCTTGGGGTCATGATTTGAATAAACTTGAATCTTCACTACCCCAGAAAGCATTCATAACATGACAGAACATCTTTTCTGGCTCAGTGGTTGTTGAGAAGATTTTAAATTACCCCACCCAATTTTCATTATTTTTTAATTATCTCCCCTTGGAAGAGGGTGCAGCCCTTCATTTGAACAAACTTGAAAACCCCCTTTACCCAAGGATACTCTGTGCCAAGTTTGGTTGAAATTGTCTCAGTGGTTCTGGAGAAGAAGTTGAAAATTTAATGTGAAAAGTTAACAACAACAACGCTGACAACGACAGACAACAGACATATTTTGATCAGAAAATCTCACTTGAGCCTTTGGCTTAGGTGAGGTAAAAAGCCAATAGGCAGTCATTCCTTAACTGGTGTACCTTTGATGTCATATTAGCTGACATCAATGTAAATTATAAAACTGACAAAGCTGTTAGCTGTTTTATAAATGGCACAATGAGTTTTTGATTTACTGAAAATGGATTTTTCATGTACTTTCACTTCAAATTTTTTGTAATTTCAAGTTCACACATATAAATTGGAACCAGTGATGATGCTACATGTATATTTCAAAGATCTACAATGATGCCTCCAAGTCTGTGATGTAAATACTTTAATTCAAACTCTTGATGTACCTCATTTAAATGTTTTACACACATATTTTCACTGTAGAAAATTACCTACGTAAGAAGATGAAATATTAATTCTTTTACATCTCTTTTGAAAAAAAAATTATTCCTGCAAATAATAAAAATAGATCATTTAAATCAAAGTCGTCCCTATTGTTAGATGACATTGCTGTCTTCTGGAGACTTTGTACTGAATCGGTTACAAAATAAGCTTTTGTTTTCGGAGGCTGACAACGCAGATAATAAGACTTGTAATTAATTTTGACGTCATGGTTTGTGACAGAAGGATGAACAAAATATTGGTTTGAAATCTGCTTACCACTGTAAGGTGACAAGATTATATAGGTTGCTAATTTATCCTTGATATCATGCAAAGACTGCATGATGTCTCAGTTATTTTAGTAGATTTCCCACAGGAAATCTTAACATTTTCTGTTTTGTTTGCTGCACATTGTTTTTCAATACACTGTTATTTAAAGTTTTATAAATGCCTTATCATTACTTTAGTCCATAAATTATGGCAAAAAAAGAAAGAAAAAGAAATTGACATTTTGTTCATGTTTTCAGAGCATATTGGAGAAAAAAGAATGAAAATTTTGCTTTTTTCATTTTTTTTTTTTAGTCTGTTCCTTAAGTCGGATTATAAATTTTTAGAAAGAATATATATACATGTATATATATATATATATTAGGGATGTCAACGAATATTCGAGTACTCGACTATCGTTCGATCATACCGACTATCGACTAAAATTTCTTTAGTTGGTTATTCGTTAAAAATGTGTTAGCTAATAGTAATTTTAAATTCAAGGTAATGAACTTGGATCCGCCCATTTCATTTATTTACAGATCAATGTTCTCGTAAGTAAAACTCGGGATAAGGTTTAACTGTTCAAAGGAAATTATGTATATGTCGATTTATGTTCGGCAAACATGCCTCCAAAATCTACAGTTTTTGGCATACTTTATATGATGTTAGGATGGAAAAACAGTGAAAAGCAAGTTATCAAGTTTCTGTGAAACTGAACTTGTATTCTGCAGTGGAACATCAAATATTATGTATCATATGCTGAATCCGTCAAACATATAGTCTTAAAAGTAAAACTTTCCTAGTAACTTCTCCGCAAAAATGACAAAAAAGCAGAGCCGGAAGGAAAATGTTGCTAACACAAACATGATTATCAAGGAATGTCTACCTCTTGTTGTAAATGGAGAGGGCGTTCAAGAATTGTTTGGTTTTGATTTAAATAATAAAGTTTCAACCTGCAATTCCATAAGATTTGACGTAATGCAACTATTCATAAAGAATAACTAAACAGCTTTTACAAAATTGTAAATACACGTTAACTGGAGGACAGTTAGCGTAATTAAATGGTGTTTCTTTCTGATATGAATATCATACAGTCATTTTAAGATTGTATTGATTGTTTGCACAAAATCTCATAATTAAAATTTATCGCAAGCTCTCTCTCTGTTTTTATAAGAGACACGCTTTAATTGTTTACCAGTCATAGCTATAGATCACTAACAAAACACGTACAAATGACTTCAAGTAACGGGTACATGTACCAGCCTTATGAAAAAAAAAAGGACAAATGCCAGTGTTTGATATTTTGCATTTAGATAAAATGTGAAGTAAATATTATATTTGAAATCAAATACAGTGGATGCATGTAGATGTATTTATTGTACAACGTAAATGTTTACGATTCAGATATTCATTGTATAATGTTGATAGCATAGTATAAATATTGTACAACTAGTCTATAAAAGACAAATAGTAAAATGACATGAAACATTAATTTAAATTTCAACGAATATTCGACTAAAGCCTCCGACTATTCAACTAAGCTGTCCGAATAAAATTGACATCCCTAATATATATATATATATATATATATATATATATATATATATATATATATATATATATATATATATATATATATATATACCAGTAAATGTTCAGAAGCTTTACATTACAAAAATGTATACACAGCAGTAACATAGTAACAATGATTATTACGTACATTAAACTAAGTGGAATGTTAAATGTCTATATTGTGACATCATAGATAAAATACTACAATGGTCTAGTAAAAGTTCGGGAAAATCATAGGTAATTTATAAGAGACAATTAAGTTTTGGCTTTAGAATACAAATAAAATGCCTTTCTTTTTCCCGTCTCTGGATGATCACGGGCACATCTGAGTTTATAAAAAGGGAAAATGTTAAATCATTTTTTTCCACAAGTTTCCAGGTGTGCACTTAACTGGATTTGTCCATATTCAGGTATACTGATTTGTTGCTTATATACACGTACACGGGCACGGAGAGTGTTGCCAGTTTTACCAATGTAATATTCTTTGCATCCAGGACATGCGATGGCCTATATGACATCTTTCGTATCACATGACATGTTATCATTTACTTTAAATTCACGCCCATTAAAATTATAACTTGTCCCTTCTGTAATGTAGTCACATGTACCGCACCGAGGGTCCGTACACTTTGACACTGTATGAGTATGGTCAGCGAATTGGGAGGATTAAAGTATTCTCTTAAGGTTTTTGGATTGACGTTTACTGATGATAAAACGACAGTTTTTGTATACACTTTTCATTTGATCATCCTCTCTAAGTAGGCTATTTAATTCATAAACAATTGAATTGATGTTTTTATTTCTCGGATTGAACGTGTGAACAAAGGGTATGTCTCTCCATCCTTCGCATGTCATGTGTTTGAAAGTAATTGTGTTCTATCACACTCCTTGGCTTTCATAAAACTATTATCTACAAGTTGCTCTGGGTATTTTTGGCTTAATAAATAAAATTTTAATTCCTCCAGACGGATATCCCTTGCATTGATATTGCTCACAATGGTACAGATCCTTCTTGCGAGATTATATGGTATAGCCATTTTAGTATGGTGGGGATGGCACGATCCGAAATGCAGATATTGGTCGCATTTTTGCAATCATAATGACTTGAAATTATTACACTCCCCATGGAAAAAAAAACACACACACACACATACCATAGGGTCATCAATATTTTATGATCATAATATCTTGAACCCCTTCTTTTTACTTTTCAATGGATATACTCCAACCCCACAATTAACCTTTAGGGTGAGGTTGTTTTTAACAGCCATATTATTTTATTCCCAGATTTTGAGAACTCTTACGGGGTTGAATATTTCACAAACACTATTCTGCTGAACCCCAAAAGAAAAAAATTCAGAAGGCCATCAATATTTTATGGTCATAATATCTTGAACCCCCTCTCTTAACTGGAGAAGATTAAATGGGGACCCCCATGTCCACCCCAAATAAAGTAAAAACTGTGGGAGGTTAACATTTTGCAACCATAATATCTTGAACCTGGGGCAAATATATTATAACCATAGTATTATGAACCCACCAGGTTCCATATTTTATAAGGGGATCCATTATATCGCAGTGAAAAAGTGAACCCGGGTTAAAAATATTATATAAATAAAAATATTATGGGATATTTTGAACCCGGGTTCAATATATCGGGGTATCAAAATATTATGCTACACCGGCAATAAACTTTTCATACTTTGAAGCTTATGAGTACAATCCTGAATCGTTTTCCTAAAACATATGTAGTGATTCCCCATTTATTACAAAACTGTCATGTTCCTCATCAATTTTCTCTGCAAAGTTAAGAACTCAGGCTCATCATTAGGTAAAATAATATATTTGGTTGTTTCCCCCATATAAATTTACTAATTAACTGACTTCCAACATTTTTTTGAATCTTTAGTTATTTCTAAATATTTCTTCACTTTTGAAGTGGGTAGCAACATTTCTCTGCATGTCTGATTTCGCTGCCATATATTAACTAAATAATTTAAAAATGATTTGAAGATAATAGACCATATTTAATTGAATTGATGTTCACTGAAAGCAATCATTGAAGCCATCCAAAAATTAAGGACCACAATAGGTGAGAACAGCTGTGTACCAGGTGATTGGTCACTAATTACTGTATATACACAGCCATAGGCGATAACGGGTGTTTTACAGGTATAGATGACAACACGCTAATAACCGTTTGCAGTTTTAAGTTATTTTTTGATAATTTCAGATAAAAAGATGTACTTTGAAATAAGAAAAAATACACCTCCGAGTAATCGAGCACCATTTTTAGTATTGGATACTCAGACGTTTGATTGAGTACCTGGTTAACGGGGTACTCGTTGACATCCCTACTATTTATATTAATGGTGACTGTTTTGTTAGGCAGCTGAAGGATTCCTGTTTGTTGTGAGCTGTGACAGGGCCAGAATTCTCTATGTATCAGAATCTGTCCGCAATATCCTCAACTACACAAGGGTAAGTATTCCACATTTTATAACAACAATATTGTAAACAGTCATTCATTTCAATGGCTTCATAAAAAGAGTTCTTGTTAATGGTCAATACCCTGATGTAAAATTTGTCTCTCTTTTAAATGGTCTTTACAATGATATGGAGTTTTTAAATGGTCATTAACTTTAACACATAAGTAGCTAGATCTAATTGGTTAGATTTATATAAATTATCTGATTGCTTAGAAAATATGTACATGTACAGTTGAACTTAGGTACCTTGAACACTGATATCTCGAATACCATGGATATGTCGAAGTCATTTGAAAGTCCCAACCACTTTTTCTCCATGCATTTTACCCTCAATATCTCAAAACCTTGGATATCTCAAAGTTCTTCCTCCATCTAATCAATTTCAGGATAATTCAAGTTTGTATTTTGATTTGATTGGTCAGAATTATTTAAATTATTTTGGTAGCTGGATCTGATTGGTCAGAGCCTCTTGGATTACCTTCATCCACATGACATTAACAAGGTTAAAGAGCAGTTGTCAGCATCAGATGTCTACCCCAGGGAACGATTAATAGATGCCAGAAGTAAGTGACAATAATTACCTAAAGGGAGTGGTATTTCTGTAAAGAGATAGTATATGTGTAAAGAGTAGTATTTCTGGAAAGGGAATGGTATATCAGTAAAGGGAGTGGTATATCTGTAAAGAGAGTGGTATATCTGTAAAGAGAGTGGTATTTCTGTAAAGGGAATAGTATATCTGTAAAGGGAGTGGTATATCTGTAAAGAGAGTGGTATATCTGTAAAGGGAGTGGTATATCTGTAAAGGGAGTGGTATATCTGAAAAGGGAATAGTATTTCTGTAAAGGGAGTGGTATTTCTGTAAAGGGAGTGGTATTTCTGGAAAGGGAATAGTATTTCTGTAAAGGGAGTGGTATTTCTGTAAAGGGAGTGGTATTTCTATAAAGGGAATAGAATTTCTGTAAAGGGAATGATTTTTCTATAAAGGGAGTGGTATTTCTGTAAAGGGAGTGGTATTTCTGTAAAGAGAGTGGTATTTCTGTAAAGGGAATAGTATTTCTGTAAAGGGGGTGGTATATCTTTAAAGGGAATACTATTTCTGTAAAGAGAGTGGTATTTCTGTAAAGGGAATGGTATTTCTGTAAGGGGGAGTGGTATTTCTGTAAAGGGAATGGTATTTCTGACTAGTGAAGACACATTCAATTTTTGGTTTTGAAGTTGTATATTTAATTTTGCTTAATATATATACTTTGAAGAATCTTTTTTTTTACTTCATATATTTAATTTTGCTGAATATATATACCTTGAAGAATCTTTTTTTTAATTCAATCTATTTTAAGTTGAGCATAAGATCTGAATTTTCAAGCCCTTGCATATTTCCTTGCCATATCCTACAGTAAAACTCGTATTGCGAAGTCCTGGGGACCTGTGAATTTAATTCGCTATATCCGTAATTCGTTATATCCGTATAATGAATTCGTATAATTATATCTGATGAATTTCCAATATACACATTTTCTTTCAAGTATAACTACCGAATATGTTATGGAAGCAATTATAACAATACATACCTTGGATATCTAAGGTTAAATTATGAATTGAATTTTTAGGTCTCCTGAGTCACTCAGGTGACCTATTGCTTTCTGTTTTTTGTCTGTCGGCGTGCGTCGTGCGTTAACATTTGAACATTTTTAGCTTCTTCTCTGAAACCACTCAACCAATTTCAACCAATTTTGGCGTATAGCAACTATGGGTGAAGAGGAACAAAAATTGTGAATTTCATGGTCCCTACCCCCCTGGGGCCTGAGGGGTGGGGCTAAAACCACCAAAATTAATGCAATCTTTAAAAATCTTCTTCTTTACTCCTGGACATCAAGCAGTCAAACTGTTGGCATGATTGTAATAAGCAATGAGCCCTCTACCAAAATTTTGAAATTCATGGCCCCAGGGTCAGGGGTTGTGGTGCTAGGGTGGGACTATATACATCATATAGTGAAAGTGCATTATTTCTTTGAAAATCTTTTTCTCTGCTCCTGGGTATTAAATAAACTAACTAAGTACATAGTTATGTTGAGCAAGACTGTCTGTTCCAAAATTGTGAATTTCATGGCCCCTGGGTCAGGGGTTTTGGTGTTAGGGCGGGGCTCTATTGATTATATAGTGAAAATGCATTATTTCTTTGAAAATCTTCTTCTCTGCTCCTGGGTATGAAATATACTAACTAAGTATGTAGTTATAATGAGCATGGCTGCCTCTTCCAAAATTGTGAATTTCATGGCCCCTGGGTCAGGGGTTTCGGTGTTAGGGCGGGGCTCTATTGATTATATAGTGAAAATGCATTATTTCTTTGAAAATCTTCTTCTCTGCTCATGGGTATTAAATAAACTAACTAAGTACATAGTTATGATGAGCATGGCAGCCTCTTCCAAAATTGTGAATTTCATGGCCCATGGGTCAGGGGTTCTGGTGTTGGGGGGGGGGGGGGGCCCTATTGATTATATAGTGAAAATGCATTAAATCTTTGAAAATCTTCTTCTCTGCTCCTGGGTATGAAATATACTAACTAAGTATGTAGTTATAATGAGCATGGCTGCCTCTTCCAAAATTGTGAATTTCATGGCCCCTGGGTCAGGGGTTTTGGTGTTGGGGCAGGGCTCTATTGATTATATAGTGAAAATGCATTATTTCTTTGAAATCTTCTTCTCTGCTCATGGGTATTAAATAAACTAAGTACATAGTTATGATGAGCATGGCAGCCTCTTCCAAAATTGTGAATTTCATGGCCCCTGGGTCAGGGGTTCTGGTGTTGGGGGGGGGGGGGGGGGGGAGGGGAGTGGCTCTATTGATTATATAGTGAAAATGCATTAAATCTTTGAAATTCTTCTTCTCTGCTCCTGGGTATGAATTATACTAACTGAGTACATAGTTATGATGAGCATGGCTGCCTCTTCCAAAATTGTGAATTTCATGGCCCCTGGGTCAGGGGTTCTGGTGAAGGGGGGAGGGGAGACTCTGTTGATTATATAGTGAAAATTCATAATTTCTTTCAAAATATTTTTTCTACTCCTGGTTATAAAGCAAAGAAACAAGTGTATAGTTATGATGAGCAAGGATGCTTTTACAAAATTTTTAAAACTTGTGGTCCCAGGGGTTCTGTTGTTTCTCGGAGGGGGGGGGGGCTCTTTTTGATTATATAGTGAAAATGTGTGAATTCTTTGAAAATCTTCAACTAATTGCATAGTTATGATGATGAGGGTACCTCCTCCAAATTTGTAAATTTTTATGACCCTAGGTCATGGGCTCTGGTGTTAGGGTAGGGCTGTGTTAAATAGTGAAAATGCATATTTATTTGAAAATCTCCTCTGCTCCTGGGCATATTAGAAGCAAACAGAGTAAAAGTTTTAATAAGCAAGGTATTTTTACCAGAATTTTGAACATCTGGACCATTTAGTCAAGTGTTCTGGTCCTGGCCAGGGCTCTATTCATTTGTATTCTACTGAGTGAAGTTATTCCCCTTTGCCATTCACCTTTGATAATTAATCACTGTAGATAATGTATTTGAAAGATTAATAGAATAAGAAAATTATGCAAGAACATTTATTGTATAATGCAAAAAGTACTTTCATAGTTTTAATAATCAGGTAGACTTGGAAATAAATAAATAAATGAATAAAAATGAATAAAAATGAAACAAAAATAACTTATCTTTTTAAATGTTCTTCAAAGGCCAAGTGAGGCCAATGTGAGAGGTAATAATAGAGACATCTATTATGATCTTAATCGTACTATTTTCCTTGCTATTGGGCAACAAAGCTTCATTTATCAGTTTATGGATCCTCTAAATTGTTGTACTCAGGTGACCGTTAAGGCCCTTGGACCTCTTGTATATACAAATACTTAATGAAAATAAAGTCAGTTCAACATATCAAATTATGAGATTTTTGAAAATTTGTTATAAAAGATGCAAATTTCATTAATTGTAACCTCTATTGGACTCAAAATCAGTTCGCTACATCCGTACATTCGTTATATCAGAATTCGTTATAAAATTTTGCAAAGAATTTTTAAGAATTTTGCCGGGGACCATGAAAAACTTCGCTATATCCGTGAATTTGCTATATCGGTGTTCCAACTAAAATTTTACAAAGAATTGTTAAGAATTTTGCCGAGGACCATGAAAAACTTCGCTATATCCGTGAATATCGGTGTTCGAACTAAACGAGTTTTACTGTAGTACAGTACACAAGACACTGTAAAGTTGCTAATTGTAGGTGATTAGCAGGTGTCATATATTGCCTGGTGAGGTAGCAGTGTAAATGAAGTATTGTCACATAGAAATGTTGTTAATATTTTGTTAAAGCCATACATAGATGAGAAAGCACTACATTTAATTTGTCAGATGATTGGGATATTGATGCATTTCTGAAAAACAGTGTTGTCTTTCATAATTAATTGTCTCTGTGCAATACATTGGGCAGATGGAGAAACCATTTTGACAATTCTACTCATTTTTTTTTGGTGATCGCAGAAAAAGCAGTAGCTGAACGTGTGAGCTTTGTTATGGGGAGTCTCGTAAAGGAAAACAAAAGGTATCAATGTACGAGATTCAAGAGGGAAAAAATTATACATGTAGCCCCTCCCCAGCCACCTAAACTTCGGAACCATAGTTATCAATCAGATGTTGAACCTTGTCATGCTGGATAATACCTTTTTTTTAAAAATCATTTTCCTGGTGTACCCTAAGGAAATGTAACCCCCCTCCCTCCCTCCCCCCTCAAAAAAAAAAGAAGAAATGTTGCTGTGCCAAATTTGAAAAAAATCAGTCTTTTAAAATAGATATCATGGAATTGGTATTATTGAACATGAGTAAACTTTGAACCTGCATCCTTTGTGTGGGTCTTCAGAGAACATTTGAAGGATGATCCCTTCCCCACCAAAAAAAAAAAAGAGTATCTGCATTAAATTTACAAAGAAAATGATCAAGGAAATAAACAATAAATTTATTTTAAATATTTATGCCTGACGCCCAATAAATGGAAATTTTTATTATATGTTTTCAGTAATTCACTGATTGATAATAAAGCATTCCAGAGTATTTAGTACTTTATTGGTACGATTGATTTTATTTATGATTTGTTCCCACAGAAACCGTATCTTTTTCATGAAACCTTAAGAGATTCTAAAATAAAGAAATACAGCTTATGTAAGCCATCATTTGAGACTGGATCGTGACATGTTGCTGTCTGTTTGATGCTGAGATTGCCTTCTTCTGGTGTTCATTAACTATTTAATGGGCCTCTTGCATCACTCTTGAGTACGGAAGCAACTTTTTTTTTCAATTTCTACTGAATCTTCTAATCCAATCAGATATCCCCCTTGAAATTTCAAACTTAATAGAAGGATAATTTTTCTTTAAAAGTGATGCAAGCATTCGTTGTATTCTCTGTAGGGTAATTTGAACTTCTAAGTAACTGCATGAGATTGAGTTATTGATTTGTAGAGTTAACTATTGATTTATTATGTAATTGTTTTATAAATGTGAATTGTCGACTCGTGTAGATCTTCATTATTAGCTCTCAAACTATGCTAAACACAGCACATATGAGAAACAGTTACTAAAAACCATATGGTTCGTATGGCTTACCTGAGGCAGAGGCTCACGTTTTTGATTGAAATTTGCCTGTTGTCTGTCTGTGTCATCATTGTGTTAACTTTTCACATTTTCATCTTCTCCTAAAACCAGTGGACTGATTTTAACGAACCTTATTTCAGAGTACCTTTGGATAAAGGGGATTAAAATTTATTCATATGATGGCCCATGCCCACTTCCAATAATAAAGAAAAGAGTTGGGTCATTTAAAAATCACAGGTCCAGAAAAGATTTAACTATGTGAAAGTTTCCAATTCAAGTTTGTTCAAATCATGGGGTATTGTGATGCCATAGGAGATTAAAATTTTATATTAGATTATATATGTATAGGGGAAAAAACTCAAGAACAGCAGAGATTTTTTATTTTAATATGCAAGCATTCTCAGGTAGTGTGGACACAAGTTTGTTCAAATCATGCCCCCCTAGAGGTAGGATGAGGCTACAATAGGGGATTAGTGTTTTACTTTGGAATATACAAGAAATTCAATAAAAAGGTCTTTTTGCAAAAAGTAGCAGGGTCACAATCATCCAATTATTTCCGATTTGTGGGATTCAACTTTTCTTTTTCATTTTATGGACGCTGGGGTTAGAGTAAGTTTAGAATCAGGGGTCAGATTTTACAAAATGTATATAATGCAAATATGCAGGGGAAAAAATATTTAAAAAATCTCCAGAACAGCAAGGCCATGCTAGTCATATTTAAGCACGCCTATAAATGTGTGGATTCAAATGTATGACCCCTTGAGATTAGAATGGGGCAACTATTTGGGGTCAAAGTTTTTTGTGATTAAAGAGCCGACATTTTCTTAAAATCTTCATTTGAAAAATAGCAGGGCCAAGGTGACTCAAAAAAGTATTATGGCCCATTGGCTTCATGTTAATTTAAAATTATCTTATACTGATGGTGCAGAATCAGAATTTCTGTAGAATTTAAAGTTCCTTTTATTTGTAAGCAAAAGAAAACAAATATGTACAGCTGATAGAGCTTTAGAAGATCTGCAGTCTCATCATTCACAGTTCTGTTTTCTTGCTCATTCTTTGTCTTATGAAGATTATAAATAGAAAGAAGCTAATTAATTTGAAAAAGGAATTAAATGATAGAAATTTTTGAGGTTCTAACATACGATCTCATGTTTTTGCACACAGACAGGGATATAAAAGAGGACATATTATATAAATGTATGAATTTGTTTTTATTATATACAAAACGTACATTGTCTGTCATAAATTGTTATGAAAGAAACTGAGGTTTAAAATTTTTCATTATGTGAATTTACATGATGATGTTGATTTGATTTAGCCATGATGCCAGTAAAAACGGAACTGATCCGGCGACCAACATACCTCTGTTCTGGTGCTCGACGGTCGTTCTTCTGTCGGATGAAATCAGGAAGCTCCGTTACAGATCTGTGTTCAGGACTCAAATCCGAGAAGGACATCGATCTGGAGCTCTGTAGTCGGAAGAAAAAATCAGGTAGTTAGTTTGCCCCCATTACACTAAACTCAGTGTATATTGTAATAGTTTTAGATTGTCTAAGCCAAGAATTCACTTGAGTTTGCAGTTTTGTCATAAGAATATCCTTCAATTGAAGATACAAAATCCTTCTCTCTGATATGTATAAGTGTTATAATATATTTCACTGATAGGAAATACTTCAATGTGATACATGGCTGTATGATATTTTACAAGAAATACTTGTGTAAGATACATGTAGTTGTATGATATATCACAAGTAGAAAACCTCTATGATACATGTATGATATTTTGTAGATTAATCCCTCTCTATGAAACAGAGATATGATATTTTTCAGATAGGAAATAAATATCTTTCGATTCATATAGTTGTATGATATTTTACAGATAGGAAGTCCTTCTCTATAATACATTTAGTTGCATATTTTACAGATAGGATATCCTTCACTATGAAACATTTAGTTGGATGTTATTTTACAGAAAGGAAGTCCTTCTCTACGATACACTGTACATGTAGGTGTATGATATTTTACAGATCGGAAGTCTGTCTGTATGATACATTTAGCTGTATGATATTTTACAGATAGGAAGTCCTTCTCTATGATACATTTAGCTGTATGATATTTTACAGATGGGAAGTCCTTCTCTATGATACATTTACCTGTATGATATTTTACAGATAGGAAGTCATTCTCTATGATACATGTAGTTGTATGATATTTTACAGATAGGAAGTCATTCTCTATGATACATGTAGTTGTATGATATTTTACAGATAGGAAGTCATTCTCTATGATACATGTAGCTGTATGATATTTTACAGATGGGAAGTCCTTCTCTATGATACATTTACCTGTATGATATTTTACAGATAGGAAGTCCTTCTCTATGATACATGTAGTTGTATGATATTTTACAGAGAGGAAGTCATTCTCTATGATACATTTAACTGTATGATATTTTTTACAGATAGGAAATCCTTCTCTATGATACATTTAACTGTATGATATTTTACAGATAGGAAATCTTTCACTGTGATACACTGTACTGGTTACCTCAAATCCTGGCCTTCGTCAAGTTTGGACATGAAGGAACAGGAGGACTCGGAAGATAACTGTGATTTAAGTTGTTTAGTGGCAGTCGGACAAATCAAAACAACCTGTGATCGAAAACTTGTGGACAGGGACAGTGATATTAATGTCCGATCTATAGAATATGTCTCGAGAATGAGCATCGATGGCAAGTTTACCTTTGTTGATCAGGGGTAAGTGAAATTAACACTAGATAGATGTAAGAAAAGTCACAATTCAAATTTGAGTTCATAACTATTTAGATGGTAACTATTCGTACAAGCTTTAAAGTTATAGATCATTATCAACCATGGACAATGTTAATTAGATTTACTTGGAAGTGTGTGCATGACTTTATGCAGACTTTCCATAAGTAATCTTTCTATTGGGTAAGAAGGTTAACTGCGCGGGTACTCAAAAGTGACTTTATGTAATTGATCTTTGATGACATAGGATACTAGATTCTTATGAAAGATGCAGAAAATGTCAACTAATTAATAAGAGATTTTCTTTCTGATGAAGAATTTAAAGATGAAAATTACTTTTATAACTGTCACAAGTATGACCTTGGCATATAGTGTTTATATGTTTTCTAGCCTTCTGTCCTTCTGTTCATCCATCACACTTTGTTATTAGTTCAGTTTCAAAGAGATTAAATTCTTAAAGATATTTTAACCAAAATTCATACATGGTGAGAGCTATTCAACTGTAACATAATTTTCTGACCTTGACCTCAATATTCCTAGTTTTACCCAGCTTCAAAGAAACTTATTCAAAATATTTTCATCAAAACTTATACACTGATGAATGTTTGAGGGAACTATTCAGCTGTGTCATAACTTTCCGAACTTGACCTTCTCTATGATCTTGACCCCCTTTTCCTTATTTTGCATTTATCTCAGTTTCAAAGAAACTGTTCAAGATATTATCATCAAACTTTGTTCAAGGTTCAAGTTGATGAGAGTTATTCAACACTATCAAAATTTTCTGACCTTGACCTATTAATTTTTTTGCATTTAGCATAGCTAAAAAGAAACTGTTTATGATATTTTCATCAAACTTAATACACTAATACACATTTAATAGAGATAATCAACTGTGTCTTATTTTCTGACCTTGACTTTTCCTACGATCTTAACTTCACCTTTCAAAATATTTTAATCAAACAAGGTAACAGATTGGCTAGAGCAATTAAATTCTGTCATAATTTTCCTTCCTTGACCTTCCTAATGACTTGGACCTTCCATGACCTTAAACTTCACTTTTGAACATCAATGTACAGTCAAACCTCGTTATCTCAAACTCCATGGGACTGAGAAAAAACTTTGAGTTATCTGAGGATTCAAGATATCGGGGGTAAAATACCAAAGGAAGAAGTGGTTGGGACTTTTGAATCACTTCGACATATCCATAGTATTTGAGATATCACTGTTAGAGACTGTACTAAGATATGATCGATTTTTTTTCTCTTTCAGAGCCACAATATTGTTAGGATACCTACCTCAAGAGCTGTTAGGAACATCAGTTTATGAGTTCTACCATCAAGACGATATTTCTGTAATGTCTGATATACATCGAAAAGGTAAATTCACTAAATTACTTCTAACACACCATAAACAACTAAATGCTTTATCAAATTTCAAAAAATTTATTTATGCAAATTATTTTATCAACAAGTGAGTATTTAAAGGGGCATAGACACAGATTTGAAGTTAATATTTTCTCAAATTTTCTATATTATATCATGACTTATATGTTGCTATAGCATTTCACACGGAAATATAAAGAAAAACATATTTTATCTGGAAATTATTGAAACTACAAATTTCAGGACGCATTTGATTCACACATCCTTGTACTTTCACAAAGTAAACTTTATCCTTAATACTGAAGAAAAGTCGAAATTTTGTTGTGTATTAATGAAAAAAATTAAAGATATATAATCCAGAAAATTCAGAGTAGAAATGTAAGAAAGCAAAACCAACTCACCAGTATTGTCAGTCCGTGCTCAGTGATATGTGCAGAGTTTAACAAATTGAACACATCCGGTTGAAATTTTCTGGGTTTAATATGTTTGGGAAAGGAGATTGGGTTTTTGTTTTTTTGTTTTTGTTTTTGTTCTTGTTTTCTTTTTGTTTTTGCTCATCAAGAAATTTCTGGGTTGGAATTTTTTTTTTGACTGGGGTGGACCCCCCCCCCCCCCCCCCCCCTTTGGAAAAAATTCCTGGACCAGTGCCTGCATGTAATAGAGTTAGACCACATGGCACATATTTATTCATGAATAACTTCAGAATAACATTGGTTATTTCTGGTTTCTTGTGCTTACTGACCCCATCAATGCAACATTGTGTCCATCACAGTTACTTGGATGCTTTAAGTATATAATGACCTTCTTAGTGGTAATTATTTACTAATTTACTGATTACAAAATTTTTCAAAAGAAATTTATAAAAAATTCTGTCAAAATTGGAAAACAAATATTTATCAGCGTTAATTTTCTAATCACCATGTGGGCAACTTGAATGTAGTTTTAAGTCACCAACATGAAAAATTAGTGGCATTAATGGCAAATGGGTGACTGGTAATTTCAAACCCTGAGAAGTCTAAGTTCATACCTCACAAACTTTTCAATAATGACAGACAATATTCTTGTGTGCATTTGAATACTGTGCAATAGTTTTTTCAGAACAAATAGACTGTACAATTTGTAAATTAAAAGCCTCAGTTTACTGCAAATTAGAATTTTTGAAAAGAGTGATGACTCATGTGAGAATTGTGGCCCATGGGCCCATTGTTTGATGCTGCATCTAACCAACATTTCATACCTTGTTCTCAGATAATCACACAAGTATTGCACAATGCATACATACTTTTTGAGGGTGTTTCTTAAAGAAACATCCTCAAAAAGTTTATGAAATCACACAGTCTTTAAATTTTATGACATTTTGAATATTTTGATGCTGGGGTTTGAGTCACAATTAGAAATTTACTCTTATAATAGTCATTATATAGACCTTTTAATAAAATACTCTTTATAAACAACTTATTTTATTTACAGATCTCCATTATAGTATTGGCTTGAATAAGAAAAGCAATTATGAATGAATCATCATATATTATGCTGTGTTTTGGTATATCTTGTCTTAGAAAACTTATCTCCCTAGCTATTGACCGGTTATTTGGTCAGTCAGATAGACAGTGCATGAACTGGAATTCTGACCAAATTTCTGAACTCTATTAGCGGTAATACATGTGATATTAATTGAGGGGAGATCTATAATGAACTCTTTGACACATTCAGCTTAATAAATCACTTCAGTCTGACTATCACTGTGTGCAGCATACAGTATTTTGAAGGGCAACATGTCCAAGCATTGACGAATTGAGGTTAATTAACATATTATCTATCATAATTATGATTAAAGGACAACAGATTTATTGAGAGTACTATTACTCATTGACTATATTATCTGTAATGTGCACAATAAGCATTGCATATCTACTTTGTTTAAAAAAAAAAAATAGAGTACACATAACTTTTAATCTCTTTCTCCCCCCCCATATGCATTTTGTATTATTAATTCAAATTGATATAATCTTTTTTTATTGTTATATTTTCAGTTTTAAAGTCAAAAGAGAAAGTGAAAACCAATGTGTACAGATTTAAAATTAAAGATGGTTCATTTGTTCACTTGCGATCAGAGTGCTTCAGTTTTCGGAATCCATGGACAAAGGAAGTGGAATATATTGTGTCAACGAATACTTTTGTACCGTAAGCATATCTAACATTTAGTTAAAATTATAAATCTGTATTGACTTCCATTAAGAACCCATATTGTTAGTTTAAGAAGTATTTTATTCACGATATACTTAGAAGTATATACAATGAACATGGATTGAACAGCAGGCAAAAATGGCCTATATTAGTTCTCTCCATTAACGATCAAGGTACAAATCATGAAATGTTACAATAATATATATCTCAACTTTTACAAAGACATGTATTTTAAACTAATTTTTAAGGAGGATACAAAGTACAAAATTGAAAAAGAGGGGAAATGAAAACCCATATTGTTCTGATAAGCACCTGAATATATCATGTTCAGTCTTTGAAGATTTAGCACCACCTCTTGTGTCTTAATAGCTCCAAAAATATAAAATAAGACATTTGTTTTTTATCCAAATGCAGAAAAGTTGCTGATTTTTTTATAAGGATTTCTGTAGAATTGTGTCTAATTTCCATGTATGTGTCAGAAGGTTTTAATTATATTGTAAATAGTAGTGCAAACCTTTTAGAATATCTTAATTTAGTTAAAAGAAATTGAATATAGAACATCTTCCAATTTTAGTTTTAAGTGCTATAAGATCTCAAGTGATTAAACTTGCATGTATGATGCATCTAGGGATGTATAATAGTAGACATGCTATGGATGCTGGATCTGACCTACATTTTCCAGATGAGTTACCAGGTAAAAGTTTTTGGGCATTCATTCCCAAGTAAATATACACCCTACCTGTAACAAACCTGTATGAATGATGCATCTATGGATGCACATTACCAGTCTTCCTTTGGATGCTGGATCTGACCTACATTTTTAGCTCTTCTGAGCCAAAGGCTCAAAGAGCTAATGCTATGGCCATTTGTGTGGTGTGCGTAAACTTTTTAGAATATGGGCCATAACTCAAGAACCCCTTGGTCAATTATTGTCAAATATGTCACAGGGTATCCTTGGCCCAAGGGCTCCCGTTTATACTAAAACTAGGGTTGTGACCCTTAAACAAGGTGAGATAATTAGGAAAATAGAAACAAAAGTACTGGTTGCTAAAAAATCTTCTTCTCAAGAACCACTGCGCAGATTATTACCAAACTTACACAAAAGGATGAGGATATGTTGTTGATTAAAATTTGCTTTGGGAATCACCCTGGGGCAAAGGGCGTGGTCTCAAGGTCACTTCAAAGTTGACCAAAATTTACATTTTATTAAATGTTGATATTTTGCTTACTATAAGGACTAGGATCATCATATCTTGTCAGTTGATGCATCTAAGGACCTCATATCATGTCAACTCAAATGTAGGTCACGGTGACCTACTTTTTAAATTTTGTGGCCATTCTTTTTCAAAATGATTTTGAGGCATATTTTGAACAATTTAAGGCCTATGATCATCAAACTTTGTCAGTTGATGTATTTTGGGTCCTCAAAGTACATCAACTAAAAAGTAGGTCACCTTGACCTATTTTTTGAATTCTATGGCTAGTCTTTTTCAAAACAATTTAGGTCATTAATTCGAATACTGAGAGGTTTAGAATCATTAAATCTTGTAGGATGATGCATCTTGGGGCTTAAAACATATTTATTAAAAAGTAGGTCACATTGACCTACTTTTTAATCTTTGCAGGCATTCAATTTCAAAGCATCTTAGAGGCATAATTTGGACATTTTAAGGCCTATGATCATAAAACTTTGTAAGTTGATGCATCTTGGGTATTGAAAAACATCAACTGAAAAGTAGGTCACTGTGACCTACTTTTGAAATATTATGGCTATATTTAAATATTTAGGGTACTATTTGGCTTAGAATCATCAAAAGTTGTCAGTTGCTGTATCTTGGGTCCTCAGAGTAGGTCTACTGAAAAATAGGTCACCCTGACCTACTTTTCAATTTATATGACTATAATTAAATATTTGGGGTACTAATTGGCTTAGAATCATCAAACTTTGTCAGTTGATGCATCTTGGGTCTTCGGAGTAAGTCGACTGAAAAGTAGGTCACCGTGACCTACTTTTGAAAATTTATGGCTTAATTTAATATTTTCAGGTACTAATTGGCATAGAATCATCAAACTTTGTCAGTTGATACATCTTGGTTTTTTGGAGTATGACAACTGAAAAGTAGATCACCATGACCTACTTTTGAAATTTTATGTCTGTATTTAATATTTTTGGGTAATTTGTGGCTTAGAATCATCAAACTTTTTCAGTTGATGCATCTTGGGTACTCGGTGTAAGTACTGGCTATAATGAAATATTTCGGGTACTAATTAGCTTAGAGTCATGAAACTTTGTCAGTTGATGCATCTTGGGTCCTCGGAGTAAGTTGACTGAAAAGTAGGTCACAGTGACCCACTTTTGAAATTTTATTGCTTTATTTAAATATTTTTAAGTACTTATTGGCTTAGAATCACCAAACTTACTCAGTTGATGCATCTTGGGTCCGCGGACTTAGTCGACTGAAAAGGAGGTAAAGAACGAGTGCACTTATGGGCCCCGGTAAAATATGAAAAAATGAAGAATCAAATTAAGCATAATTTTTCATCTCAGATCATTAATTGATATATAAACCATAAGATTCAACAAATTTTATCAGTGAAATTCATGAATATACAAAGAGCAAAGCCATACAATGTGGTGATGGTCAGTCGACATTCATGATTTTCTATAGTAAATCGAGGAAGGTCATTCATTTCAAAGCTTTTGTTTACTGTCAGCCTAACATTGTACAAACTTGTGCCAATGACAAAAAACGCATTATACATTTAAAAAACTTGTGTGAAAGTAGGAAATTTGTACAAGATTAGGCTTGTACTTAAAATATTAAAAATGTATGAAAAGTTCAATGTTTTTCCTGTAGCAAACAAGAGCTATTTACCTGTATGACCTTTGTTGAACCCACCTGTGGAATAAATTATTTAAAATACCGGTAGTCACGTGAGTTCTACCCAGGTAAACATTCCTCAAAGGTGCTCACTGTAAAACAGCTGTAAAAGATAGTCACGTTTTGTATCATTATATCAAAGTCGTGCGGCATAGAGAAGGTTGCATGTATTTGGTTTTATGAACATGGGAGGGTTAGGAGAGTTTAGTGTCATTAAAATGTCATCATACATAAAAGCGTCAAACATTTTTAACATTCATGCAAGACAATGGTACCGGTAATGAAAGCCACCTAAATACACTTTTTTTTCATTTTAAAATTTAAGGAAATAATGTGAATACTTATTGTATTACTTCAAATGCAAGCGTGTAAATTTCTTAGTTTGATCACTATGGCTACAGGCATCTATACAACTTCCTTCGATTTTTTTTTTCAGGTGAAATAGCGCAAGATTATCATTCGGAAAACGCGCCTGTCAATGATCCACCATCAGATTGTTCAAGTGTCCGATTTAAATGTCTCCTCCCCTTGATTTGAATAAACGAAACTCAAACTAGGTTCAGTACGACTTTTCCGGATTCGGGGTATCTGTAGGCAGTTTAAAATCTTCATTTGTTTCAAATCCATGCTGATTTAGGTGATGTTTTAACATGATTTTAATTAGAAATATCCACTTGTGTTTAACTATTACCAAAAAAGAACAATTTGGTAATATATTCTAAAGTAAAACGACACTGAAAAAGGGACCATTAAGCATTGCTTAAGTGCACTTGTCCTTTGACCTATTTTTTTAAATTTTATGACTTTATTTAAATATATCAGGTACTAATTGGCTTAGAATCATCAAACTTTGTCAGTTGATGCATCTTGGGTCCTCAAGGTATGTCATCTGAAAAGTAGGTCACTGTGACCTACTTTTGAAATTTTATGGTTATAATTTTTAAAAATATTTTAGGTACATGTATTAAACTATTAATTGACTTAGAATCATCATACTTAGTTGATGCATCTTGGGTCCTCAGAGAATGACAAGTGATAAGTAGGTCACCATGACCTGCTCTCAGGTACTAATTGGCTTAGAATCATCTTGGGTTCTCAGAGTGTTTCATCTAAAATGTAGGTCATGATGACCTACCTTTGGAATTTCAAGGCTTTATCTAATTGTACAGGATACTTAGAAACTTCAAATAGAAGTGATAGGTTGTACAGTTTATTAGAAGAGTGATTCAAGGCCCTTGGGCCTCTTGTCTTGATGATTGGGTAGGTTTTATGTTTAGGTGTGTGTTCATTCCCAATTTTCTGGTTGAGTGACCAGGTTTTTAAAAATATTTTGGAGCAGGTTCTTTCGTTGGTAACTACAAACCCTATGGTGAACAAACTTGCATGGATGATACATTTAGAGATTCACACTACCAGACTGGGTTTGGATACTGGATCTGACCTACATTTTGAAGCAGGTCCATTCCAAAATAACTATAGATCATACCTGGACCAAAGTTGCAAGGATGATTCAACTAGGGATGCAAACCTCCAGACTTGCTTTGGATGCTGGATCTGACCTACATTTTGAAGCAGGTCCATTTCCAAGTAACTATAAGTCCTACCTGGAACAAAGTTACATGGATAATGCATGTAGGGTTGGCTTGCAAACTTTCACACTGTGGATGCTTGATCTGACCCACATTTTGAAGCAGGTATATTTCCAAGTAATTATAAGTCCTAACTAGACCAAAGTTACATGGATACTGCATCTATAGATACACACTACCAGAGATCCAGATGCAGGATCTGACCTACATTTTGAAGCAGGTTCATAATGAAGTAAATATAAGCCCTAACTGGACCAAAGTTGCATGGATGATGCATTTAGAGATGCATACTATCAGACTTGCTTTGGATGCTGGATCTGACCTATTTTTCAAAGCAGGTCCATTCCCAAGTAACTATAAGCCCTAGCTGGACAAAAATTGCATAAATGACGTATCCATGGATGCACACTTCAGATGCTGGATTTGACCTACTTTTCAAAGCAGGTCCATTCGCAACCCTTGCAGTAACCACAAGCTTACCTGGACCACAGTTGCAGGATTGTTGCATCTAGGGATAAATGCTACCAAACATGCCTCAGATGCAGCGTCTGAAGTACCTGGATGATGTCACTCACCAGGAATATTTTCAACATGACTGAAACAATTTTAAAAAATTTTAACATTCCCAAGAAACTAACCTATCCAGACCAAACTTGCAGGATGGTTGCATCTAGATATGCACACTAGAGATTTTTCCATCACTTATAGATAACATTTGTCTAGATGAGCTTTGTAATCTTTGACTACCTATGTGTGAATCTAAACTTGGTGATTGATCTAACAAGTACTAGCTTAAAGCTTCCCTGATGTAAGGTTTTCTGAGTAAATCAAGTCATGTATGTCCTTTTCTTTACCCCCAGAGAAGCCACACAAAAAGTTTCTCTTCATTTTCATATTACATTGCATTATGCAAGGCTATTCATATCTCTGGTCATATGTAATCAGAGTACTACAACATAAAGAAATGTTGTGGTCAGTTGGCAGTCAGGAATTGTTAAGACGTGGAAGCTCTTACATGTTGTTTTACTATCTCAAAAGACATGCATGCAATTGTCATGTAATAATTTATCTGGGGAACCTTTGTTATCCTTAATATGAGGGTCAACTTCATGTTTATCTCTACTGATCAAAGACCAGAAAAGTTCATGCCATTCATTTGTCTGTCTTCTACTTGTCTGTAAACAGTATATCTAAACACTACTCCTCCTACAGTTTTGGTCCAATTTCAATGAGTTAGTACACAATTAAACTATACTATGATACATAATTCTGTTCAACAGTTTTTGATTTCATCGAATGTGTTGCCATTTTGTTACTAAAGATAGAAATATCTGTGAAATTCTCTCAAAATATTTTTTCTCTACAGATTTGGTCCCATTTCAGTGACTTGTTACTCAAGTGGCATATACAAATATACATAATTTGTTCAACATTTTTTTTTTATTTTTACTGTGTTGCTATATGGTTTCTAAAAATAGAAATTGCTATGCATTTTGTTTTCAAAACACTACTCCTCCTTCAGTTTCGGTCCAATGTCAGTGAGAATTGGTACACAAGTAGACTATATACTATGACTTTTGACCCCTTTACCTTGACATTTGACCTACTTTCCAAAAACTCTAGCAGTAATGATAACTTTTGAATGAGAGAAGATTAGGGCATTCATTTTTTTGCCCCGCCATGAATATGGTCAGGGCATAAAGTGTTTGTCATGTCCGTCTTCCGTCCTTCCGTCTGTCTTTCTGTCACGCTTTGCATTTAGCTCTGTTCAAAGATCAGTTCCAAAGAAACTATCAAAGATATTTTTATCAAACTTCATATGCTGATAGATATTGATGAGAGCTATGCAACTGCATCAACATTTTTTGACCTTGACCTTTCCTTTGACCTTGACCTCACTTTTCTTAAATTAGTGTTTAACTCAGTTTTAAAGATACCATTCAAGGTAGTGTAATCAAACTTCATATGTTCATACATACTGATGTAATCTATTCAACTGCATCAACATTTTTTGAGCTTGACCATTCCTTTGATCTTGACCTCACTTTTTTTGAATTAGTGTTTAGCTCAGTTTTAATGAAATCTTTCAAGATATTTTTATCAAACTTCATATGCTGATACATACTGATGAGAGCTATTCAACTGTATCAATATTTTTTTACCTTGACATTTCCTTTGACATTGACTTCACTTTTCTTAAATAAGTGTTTAGGTCAGTTTTAAATAAACCATTCAAAAATATTTTTATCAAACTTAAATATGCTGACACGTATTTGTGAGAAGTATTCAACTGCATCAAAAACATTTGACCTTGAACTTTCCTGTGACCTTGACCTCACTTTTCTTAGATTTGCATTTTGCCTAATTTTTAAGAAACCATTTAAGATATATTTATGTAAGTTTATGCACTTATACATAATTTGGTGAGAATTTATCATCTATATCCAACTTTTTAGATTTCAATTTCAATTTTAAAGGAACTTTTCAAGATATTCTCATCAAATTTCATACACCAATACAAATTTTCATGTTGCATTACTAATGTACCCTTGGTGGGGCATTCATGTCCTATGGACATATTTCTAGTTTACATTTGCATTACCTGTGACAAGACCTTTTTGAATGCACTAGGTTTTTGACCCCATGACCTTGGCCTTAAAATTTAACCTAGAGTACTTTTCAAAATCTTCAAAATTGGTAATATTACATTTGAATGAGAGAAGATAGAGCTTTCATATTTTACAGGATTTCCTGTGACACCTTTCAGAAAGAATTATCATTTTCGACTTCTTGACCTTAACCCAGAAGTTTGGCCTTCTTATCTAAAATTTTAACTTTGGCCGTAACTTTTGCTTCAGAAGAGACAAGGATTTCATATTTTTTTCACATGTGTATTACTTGTGACAAGACCTTTCAGATTATATTATGATTTTTAAACCTTGGCCTCATTTTATCATGATGTGTTGTTTTTAAAGTTTATTTTCCAGTTTTAACTTTGAGCCATATAAGTCAGTGATTGCATATTGCATAAAATGTGTAGTCATATATGTAATGTTGATAACAAAGAAATTAAATAAGTGGTTAGGGTTAGATTTTTCAAAAAAACTTTTTTTTTACTTCAGGGAACAGGAGGTTACCAGTTCAGGTCAGAGTATGGATGCAGGTTCAGAGGTCATGGAGGGCAACTGTAATTGGGAGTATAAAGAAGGTTAGAGGTCAAACTTAGATTCCTAATGAAGGTCATGTCTTAGCTTGCACAAAAATGGATACTTATCTAAATTAGGAGTGACTCTAGACAAAGTTTACTATGTGTATTTACCAGTGTTAAAGAAAAGCCTTACATTTGGTGCAGTTCAAGAGTATAAACCCATATTTAGATTATAAGTCACAAACATTGTAAATTTGTTATTGCAGCCCGGAGGACTGGGCTGCTCTATACATATAAGTTTAAGTGTTGGTATATGGGGATTGAGGTGGGAGAAGTTATTCAGAATTAAAGGTTTTCTAAACATTAAAAAGATTGTTAATCAGAATGTTCTTTCCCTTTATAAATTACGAGATACACAATATATTTACTTCCATAAAGTGAATCTGTAAAAATATATAAGTTTTTCATGTTTAATTTATAAAGTTGCTTATCATTTACTATCGAAAAAACGACAGGTCCCTTTTTTTAGAACATCGAATTTTACTTATCGCATAAAAAATTAAAAATGTACTTTACACAGTTCATGTTTTATAATCTTAAAGTGAAAGACATTTTTGAAAAAATGGTGATGCATGTGTCTGGTTTCAAATTATATTTTATGTAGCCAACATTTACTTGAGGAATTGATAAAGTTTAAAAGGGTATCGTTTTTGTTCGATTTTCATCCAACTATAAGTTTTCAAAATATTCTCTACTGTCGTCTCCATCATTTAGACGCATGCCTTTTTCACACATATCAAAGCGGTTTGATGATCAAGACTCATTTCCATTGTTTACTTTATTTATTTCCCGGGCGACAATTGATGGTTACATCAATGTTTTCTTGTACTCATTTTTGGGGGCTCTTGTCTTTCAGACCAGCAGGCAGGACTGACTGAAAAGAGGAAAAATGGGGCAGGAGCTGTTGCTACGGGAACCAAGCTGGGTGCTGGGCGGATAGGTCGACAGATTGCTGAAGAGATGATAGAAATGCAGAGGTATATAGTCGTTAACCAACTCAAGATGTAACAGTACAGAAAAGAAATGTAAATGGGCACACATATATATTACATAGACTATTATCTCTTTCACAAGAGGTTATTAGTGAAATAATGACTCTTAGATCCTTTTTTAAAAATCCATGAAAATTGGCCCCTATGAATAATGAGTCCACAATATATATTAGTGAAGATCTGTTCAATCATTGGCAGAATGGCATAGTGGTTAGAGGCTACAGAAAATTTGTATGTAAAATCTTTGTTCAGAGCTCATGTATCAATTGAAATCTTAAGAAGAGTCATTTTTTCAGGAATTATTTTTTTCTGTCTACCATTTGGATAACTTATTAACTTGACTGGTCAGAGACAAAAGAGCTGTATTATTGCAAAGTGTATATTGTCCATCTCTCTGTCTGTCAATACTACTCCTACTACAGTTTACAGAAAACTATACATCAAGATACATAATTATGTGAATCTGTATACAATTTCCTGATAAGGCCAAAAAAATTAAGCAATAGTGTCTCAGGCATCGCCGCATCAGGTCAAAAAAAGCCACATTGATCAAGTTTATTGACAGTTTGAAAAGGGAAAATTACTCAAAGGCTCAAGTGAGCTTTTCTGATCAAAATTTGTCTGTTGTCTGTGGTCGTCGTCATTGGCGTAAACTTTTCACAATTTCAACTTCTTCTCCAGAACTACTGGGCCAATTTCAACCAAACTTGGCACAGAGTATCCTTGGGTGAAAGGTATTCAAGTTTGTTCAAATGAAGGGCTACGCCCTCTTTCAAGGGGAGATAATTAGGAATTAGTGAAAAAATAATGGCATCATTTAAAAATCTTCTTCTCAAGAACCACTGGGCCAGGAAAGATGAAACTTATGTGGAAACATCCTCAGGTAGTGTAGATACAAGTTTGTTCAAATCATGACCCCCGGGGGTAGGGTGGGGCCACAATGGGGGATCCAAGTTTTACATAGAAATATATAGGAAAATATCCGTAAAAATCTTCCTCTTAAGAACAGTAAAGCCATGATTGGTCATATTTATATGGAAGCATCCTCAGGTAGTGAAGATTCAAATTTGTTCAAATCATAACCCCCAGGGGTAGGATGGGGACACAATGAGGGATCCAAGTTTTACATAGAAATATATAGGAAAATATCTCTAAAATCTTCTTCTTAAAAACAGTAAAGCCATGATTGGTCATATTTATATGGAAGCATCCTCAGGTAGTGAAGATTCAAGTTTGTTCAAATCATAACCCCCGGGGGTAGGGTGGGGTCACAATGGGGGATCCAAGTTTTACATAGAAATATATAGGAAAATATCTCTAAAAAATCTTCTTCTTAAAAACAGTAAAGCCATGATTGGTCATATTTATATGGAAGCATCCTCAGGTAGTGAAGATTCAAATTTGTTCAAATCATAACCCCCAGGGGTAGGATGGGGACACAATGAGGGATCCAAGTTTTACATAGAAATATATAGGAAAATATCTCTAAAATCTTCTTCTTAAGAACAGTAAAGCCATGATTGGTCATATTTATATGGAAGCATCCTCAGGTAGTGAAGATTCAAATTTGTTCAAATCATAACCCCCGGGGGTAGGGTGGGGCCACAATGGGGGATCCAAGTTTTACATAGAAATATTTAGGAAAATATCGTTAAAAATCTTCTTCTTAAGGTATGTCACTCGTGAAATTTGTTATATCAAGGATTTTTTGAGAAGTATATTTTGGATAAGTACTCATATAGTATGACTCAAAATCGCGGAGAAAATGGGGGGTCAGTGTGCATCTAACTGAGCTACGGTACAATTAAGTTGACCTTTTTGCACTTAAATCGTAACTCTTTGGTTAATCACTTTATCCGTTATCACATTTTATAAGATGTAACCATGGCAATAAACATAATCTTATTTTACGTAAAATGATTTGAATAATATTTATCATTGAACAAATCATGCAAATTAATGCGCGTAAATTATTGTGTGACCTTTTTGCACTAAAAAGTCTCATATTTAGGCTATTAAAAATCTAAATAGGCAATAGAATATTTTCTTGTATCAAACTTTTTACGACTTAAGTGCTGATCGGTCAAAAGTATCGAGTAGTTTAAAATAATGAAAGAAAAAGTTGGGGTCAGTGATGTTAATTTTGAAATATTGGTCAAAATATGCGATTTTCAGGCAAAAAACTGTGTAAATTTTATCTCGACTTCCTTAATATATCTTCATTTCTTGGCAATGTTTGATGAGTGAAGGTGTAAATTTTGTTATAAAAATATAAATTGAGACGTATATTTAATATTCCAGGCATATCATAACGGAAAATATTCTCTGAGTAAAAGTATGTGAGGCTAAAGTTCCAAGATATTAAATTTAATAAATGTGTAGATTTGCAGAATTTTCTGCTAAATATCCTCCCGCCACAAGAAATAGTCCCTTATAAATCTTGCTTCTTTGTGAATTTTTGAGCAGTTTTTTAATTGAATGTTGAACATTTTACATTGTTTAATTTAAATATGTTATAAAGATTGAATTGTAATAAATAGTTTTTAAGTAAGAGGTTCTGACTGAAATTTTCTAAAAGGCTGACGAGTGACATACCTTAAGAACAGTAAAGCCATGATTGGTCATATTTATATGGAAGCATCCTCAGATAATGAAGATTCAAGTTTGTTCAAATCATTACCCCGGGGATAGGTTGGGGCCACAATGGGTGATCAAAGTTTACAGAGTTATATATAGGAAAAAGTCTTTTTCTCAAGAACAGAAAAGCCATGATTAGTCAAATTGATATGGAGGCATCTTTGGGTAGTGTAGAATGAAATTTGTTCAAATGAGGGCCCCCGGGGTTGGGTGGGGCCACAATGGGGGATCAAATTTTTACAAATGAATATATGGGAAAAAAATCTGCTGCTCAAGAACAACAAAGCCATTTGTTATATTGATATGAAAGCAACATCAGGTAGTTTAAAATTCCTCACCCCCCCCCCCCCCCCCCCCTGTAAACTTTTCAATACTGTACTGATTTTTGCTTTTTTTCCTAGCCAATGTGCTCAGGTGAGCGATGTGGCCCATGGGCCTCTTGTTCATGAATGCTAATAGATAGACGTTTTTATTAGATGAACAATATATTTCTTGTTAATACAGTATTTTATGAATTAACTTTTAAACAAATGTTTGGAATAACATTATTTAAAGTTGATTACATATTATAATTAATGTAAGAGAAGAGAAAAAGTAAGAATCAGTTGAAGTCATCATTTTGTTGAATGACTGACATGAAAAAAGGTGCAACACCTGCTTCCAAAATAAAAAAAAAAAAAAAAAAAAGAACTGCCTGCTGCATTTAATTTTGGATTTTTTGGCTTTAGAAACTATTAATTAATTTTTCTTGGTCTAAGTGTTGCCATGATTATGACTGGATTTTTTTCAGTTGAGTTCAAAGTTTTGATTAAGAACATTGTTGTTTTGAAAAAAGATGTAACTAAAAATTAATCAATGCACCATCAAAGTTCATGTAAATATAGGTTATGAAACCCTGAAAAGAAAGTTTATGTTCTCATTTGATTTCTTCTTAGGAACCATTCCACCTACCCTTGATGTAATAAACTTCCTCTTACTACAGCTATAAAAATGCTTGATTTGGTTGTTAATTATCCACAGGAGTGGTTGTATAACCAGTTGTATAGATATCCTTGACATGTGCTGTGGTATTGGAATTATTAGACTAAAATGTCCTTGTTTCCATGGCAACCATAGGCTTTTTTTTAATTAACAAAAGAGCCACTGATTCTCATTAAAATGTCTTTTGTGTTGCATGTCTCCACAAAACAAAATATTTTAAAATTAGATTTTTTTTTTAATTAAAATGGCTATTGTGTTTATTTTTATTGATACTGAAATAGAAATGATCAGTTATGTTACCAGTATTTTGTAATAGAAAGAATAATGTAAAAGTTGGTAATTTTACACTGTTCATAAATCTCTGTTTTATTTTCAGAGGCTTCAATACCACGCTAGCAGACAGTACTAATTCCGTACCTGTGGCGAGCACGGCTACCATACCTGTAAGTACCACAGCAGAGCAGCTGCAGAAGTGAAATTACAAATTTTTACCTCTTCACTTTTTAATATAAAGATGCTTATGGGTACTAACTCAACTTTTATTTAGATCAGTCAGAGGTTTTGGAATACTCGCATGGTAATGCTCAGTTTGCCAGAATTATATGTACATCTAAACTGTCCACAATTCCCATCAATGAATTTTACAGCTACTAACTAGATGTTAAATGTTTATGCTTAGGTTGACTGGTGGCATCTCTAAGAACATGAGATACATGTATTTTATAGCTATTGTCTACAGACTTACATGTAAATAGTCGTACATGAAATATATCTATTATCTACAAATCTACATGTTGGCAGTTGTATATGAAATATAGCTTTTGTCTGCAAATTTTAATATAGGTAGTTCCACGTGAGATTTAAATAGTATAATAGCTTTTATATACAAAACTACATGTTGGTTAATAAAGATATTGTGTTGGTTGAAAGTACATTAGACATAGGCTTTAGGAGGCTATATTTGTCCTGAAATATACATGCTGATATTGTATGTATGGTGATGATTGTTGCTTTTTTCTATATAGAAAATTAATACTTGTTGGTTTAAAGTAAAAGAATAATGAAGATTAAGGGGAAGAAAACAGTGCTTCAAATATTTCACAACCTAAAATTTGAACAGTTACAAATAATGTCATTGTTGAATCAACCTCAACTTCAAGATTTTTTTTTAAAAATTGATATAAATTAGTTCAAGTTTGCTCAAAATAGAGCTATATTCAAGGGGTACATGAGTTAATCTAGAAATGTAAAAGTAGGGTCATGGTGCATATGAGCACAGTGTCCTAAAAGCTTTTTATTAGCTCACCTGAGCTGAAGGCTCAAGTGAGCTTTTCTGATCAAAATTTGTCCGTTGTCTGTCGTCGGCGTTGGCGTCGTCGGCGTCGTTGTTGTCGTAAACTTTTCACATTTTCATCTTCTTCTCCAGAACTACTGGGCCAATTTCAATCAAACTTGGCACAAAGTATCCTTGGGTGAAGGGGTTTCAAGTTTGTTCAAATGAAGGGCCACGCCCTCCTCCAAGGGGAGATAATTACGAAATAGCAAAAAATTAATGGCATTATTGAAAAATCTTCTTCTCAAGAACCAGTGGGCCAGGAAAGATGAAACTCATGTGGAATTATTGTCAGGTAGTGTAGATTCAAGTTTGTTCAAATCATGACCCCCGGGGATAGGGTGGGGCCACAATGGACGATCAAAGTTTTACATAGGAATATATAGGAAAAATCTTTAAAAATCTTCTTCTCAAGAACAGCAAAGCTATGATTGGTCATATTTATTTGAAAGCATCCTCAGGTGGTGTAGATTCAAGTTTGTACAAATCATGACCCCCGGGGGTAGGGTGGGGCCACATTGGACGATCAAAGTTTTACATAGGAATATATAGGAAAAATCTTCAAAAATCTTCTTCTCAAGAACAGAAAAGCTATGATTAGTCATATTTAAGTGGAAGCATCCTTAGGTGGTGTAGATTCAAGTTTGTTCAAATCATGACCCCCAGGGGTAGGGTGGGGCCACATTGGACGATCAATGTTTAACATAGGTGTACATAGGAAAAATCTTCAAAAATCTTCTTCTCAAGAACAGCAAAGCTATGATTGGTCATATTTATGTGGAAGCATCCTCAGGTGGTGTAGATTCAAGTTTGTTAAAATTATGACCCCTGGGGGTAGGGTGGGGCCACAATGGACGATCAAAGTTTTACATAGGAATATATAGGAAAAATCTTTAAAAATCTCAAGAACAGCAAAGCCACGGTTTGTCATATTTATACGGAAGCATCCTCAGATAGTGTAGATTCAAGTTTGTTCAAATCATGACGACCACCCCCCACCCCCCACCCCCCCCCCACTCCATTTTTAGGGTAGGTTGGGACCACTTATGCATTTAAGCTTTTCAATACTAAACTGATTTTTCCTTTTTTCCTAGCCACAGTGCTCAGGTGAGCGATGTGGCCCTTGGGCCTCTTGTTGAAATTCAGGTGTTACTTTTTTTTTCCTTTTTACAGGGAAGACATTTTGGTTTGTCTAATGGTCTAGCCGTCAAAGTCCCAGGTAATAATCTTGTCTTTCGTCAACTTCTGAATTACATGCAGTTAAGCTTAATCTTCCCTCTCACTAAATCGTGTCACTGTCTTGTTCCTTGACAGTTAAATTAACATCAAAATCCTTTGTAGTTCCTTGTACGGATCCTCCAGTTGCTACGGCAACAGAGGTGGTCGTGCCTAGTGAAGTTGCGGCAACCTTGGCAAATCAGGTAGCCGCCACGCGGAAAAATGGTCTGACGGTCCCCACACAATCACCTACCACAGGTTTGTTATAAAAATAAAACTCTGTCTGAATTAAGGTTTTTTGTGAACAATGCAGTAAGCTTTTTACTGAACATTAAATTTGTTTAAATGCTGACAGAATTTATTGTTTTCATTGATTTGAAAAATCATTCTTTCTGTGTGAAATTCTTTAATAAATGAATAGATTTTGTTAAAAATGTTACAATAAATATATTAATGTCATCTACACTGTTAGCTACTGATGAAAATGCAAAAATGTTAAAAGAGTACTTTTACATGTAACAATGTTACAAAAAAGATTTCAACATTTTCACTTTATTTGTTGTAGCGGGTGCAGTGGCCAGCACGTCAGCGGAGACAAATCTGATTGAAGGAGTGATCGCAGAACAGGAATCCACGGAGAACGAGGCAGGACAAAGCAATGAACAAGGAAATGACGAAGCAGCGATGTCAATAATAATGAGTTTGTTAGAAGCAGATGCAGGTTTAGGAGGACCTATTGACTTTAATGATCTCCCGTGGCCATTATAGTTGTGGCATAAGACTAGACATGAGTTACTTCCCTTTGAGAAGTAAAATCCACATGATCTTTTTGAGCTCTGTTGAGCAGAGATAAAAAGAAGTTGTGTTAACCAGGAAACCTAAGGGTCATGAATGGACAGACCTGGTCTTTATATGGCTCTAGTGGAGGGAGGGTCAAAGGTCAGTGCATACAGTGATCCGGCCCAGATGCACATGTTGAGATTAATCTGACTATTCAGCTCAAGGTTACTAAGGGAGAAGATACGAGTGTATAATCATGTGATATTTATTTCATGTAAATAAGATAGACCAACAGCATTTATCCCTGCATGAAATCTCGTTATTTAAGTGCTAGAGAACCCCGTATTTCTTTGTGATCGATTGATCAAACACAGATGTTAACGTTATTGATGGGGGGAGAATCATTTATTTTTTAATGAACAGGTCTAGAGGAATTCCAAAATAGAAACAAAGATAATATTTCAAATATTTTGTAAATTTTTGGATTTTGCAAATTTCGAAATCCAATGGCCTTTATAAATGATTTTTTAAAGCAAAGATACAGCTTTAAATATTGTGCCTATAAAGGGTTCGATGAACCAAAGTCATTAAACTTCCTATCTTGCTAATGTTTAGCAGCAAACAAATGTCTCGACTTCTGTTTTTACACACATCTCACCATGTTTAAAATAATCCACTGCATAACTGGATGTTTGATAATGCTAGTTCATTATGAATACATGAAATATTTGCATTTCTCATTTTTCCTCAAATTGAGAACAGTTTGATGAAAGAAATCCTTCTGCTTTACATATATATGCAGGCTTTTGAAAATAATATCATTTTTAAGGGAAACAGCCATGTTTTGCTCAACTTAGTTGTACCGGTACATATCTGCGTTTTATAATAATAGCTAGGCCATCATTGCTTTTGCAATCTTTTTTATTAAAGATTCGTTACCACTTAAATTGGTGCTTCTGCAATTGTAATTCTGTAAATCAAAGGTAATAAGTGGTATTTTCAATCTTTAAAGGAAAACAACCTGAGCTTTATGCAAACTTCACATGTGTGTTGTGTTGTTCATTTTCTGTTGTTAGGGAGGAGGGTATCGTTGAATGCTCTTATTCTCAAATTACTGGAAATCAACCATTATTCACAATTTGTAAGTTTGAAAATAATTTTTGTTTTGGAACTATGGAGATTTATATTCTCCTTAAATATAAAACGAAATAAATGGATAATGACAAAAAATATTTCCATGTAAAAGAAGGCCACAAAAGTTGCTGTCATCCTCGGGTGGGGAGTAAAGTTGATTCTTTTTCCCATTGGCTAAGAAGAATAACTCTGAATAACTATGGTTTTTCATTTTCTCAAATTTTGCCCCGTATATTATATATCTTAAATTTGCTTAAAAAGCTGTTTGAATATATTGTAATAAATTTACCTTTTTTTTTTTAATTAGAAGAGGGTTTCCTTCCTGTAGGAATTAATTCTAGTTTACTTTTTGAGATTGATTGTTATGAATCATACTCTGTAATTTGAATTTCTGCAGATAGATTTCAACTCTTTCATGATTTTTTTTTGAATTTTTGAATTATATGTATAAAAATAAGGAAGATTATAGATCTTCATATCACAAAATGGCAAAGAAGTGTATAAATCTAGTCAGGGAGTAGTCATTAATTGTACCGTACATACTTTTTTAGATGTGTACAGAAAGGTGCATTGTATCTTTTCAAGATTTACAAATTAATTACTAGTATATATTAAAGAACATGCTGTTGAAGACATATGCTTTTTTCCATAGAAAAACAATACAATTTTTGAGAAATAAAGTCTTTCTATCAGCAACTTTTTTTTCATCTTCGCTAGCCAAGGGTTTCTGATACGCTACTCTCCTCATAAACCTTGGCATACGGTGCTGACAAAAGACGGGATTGTTTTTGTCACGTGATCATGATTCTTACCAGGTTACTGGTATGCACAGATTGCGTCATCGACAGAAATAAAAAGCGTATTTAAAAAAAAATGTTTTTAAAGAATAATTAACAAGAAGGTATTGAGTTATGTTAATTTGTTATTCAAACATGTAAAAATGCAAATCTACATCTTCAGTATGGATTCTTAATTACATATTTTCCACGTTGCTGAAGAAATTGGATGACACCATATTGCTATTCATAGAATGGCATGTTATCTTACGGATCATTGTTTACTTGCGTTTTACATTACCGATATTAAAGAGTCAAGATATATCCCGAACGCAAATATCGTCATTTACAAAAAACAACTGCTGATTGGTCGAACGATGTCGATCAACTCCAATCACAACTTGAGAAAAAAATCCCAACTTTTTTTAACACCGTATGCCAAGGGCTTATGAGGAGAGTAGCGTATCAGAAGCCCTTGGCTAGCGAAGATGCTTTTTTTTGGATTTTTTTTTAAAGCTTGAAATTGCAAAGTGGGGAAATCACACAAGACATCTAGTAGTATAGAGACTAAACATGAAGAGTCTTCCACATAGAAATGCTTTTGCAAAGCTTTAAGTTTGAAGTTTTCATAATTTTTTTTATCCCTGAAATATTCCTTTTTGAAATTTTTTTCCCTAATCTTTTGCATTTTATTATTTTTAAAATTTTTAATATGCTGGTTTTGACAGAGAAAAGTGCCAGAAGTCAAACTTTTATTCATGTATCAGGGATACAAATCTTTGATTATAAGTTGCTACCATTTATTCTTAAAGTCCTCATCATTTGTGTTTGATGTGATCACTACATAGGCCCAGCAGATAGACACAAATCTTGTTTGTAACTGGTTTCTTGAATCTGTGAAAGTTTAAGAATATTCAGCATTATTCATCCTTCCAGAAAACTACAATTAATTTTTGATCAAGTCATAAAGAATGGTTTTGTGTGTTCTAATATGATTTTTTCCCCAAAATGGCTGCTTAAAGAGGACTTAATTTGAGGACCCTCTTTACACTCATGAGAAATGTTTTCTGGGCAGTGAAGAAATATTTTGTACAAAGATGTAAATATTGAGTTAATCTATTTCATCTTCAACATAGGGTACTAGGCATAATGTTCAAAGACAATGAAGTATTGGTGAATATAAAACCATTGTTGCTCACTGGAAAAGTACATGCAAAGAAAAGGTCCAAATAATTCATTAATTCCTAATGAAATGTTGATTACAAATTGAGAAATATTCTGTAGATTTCAATTTATTTCATTTTAAATCTAGGGGCAGATCACTCTAACTGCATAAAAATACAAAGGAATTGGAACTCTTTAGTGAGTAGTTATATTCTTAACATGTACAGAGCTTTAAGGATATCTCACCTGTATAATATTGCAAATTGTTAGAAATGTATCTTACATTGAGTAAAGTTTCACTCTGTGCCTTGAAAACTACAGAAAATCTAAAAATTATTAGTCAAAGAACTTTACACAATAAATGCATATCCCTGCCCCCCATAAAAGTCAAATTTTTAAAATCTCTTGAAGTGTGTGCACAATTCTACATATTTTAAAAAATACAACTGAATTTACAAAATGCATTTTTGATTGGGAGAAAAATATTGGCATTTTTGGTCTCTGTGATGTCATAAACTATTGGGATTTCCTTTTTTTAAAGACAAAAATGCACAATATTGTTCATTTTGAGTTCAATTTTTAGCTCACCTGAGCCGAAGGCTCAAGTGAGCTTTTCTGATCACATTTTGTCTGTAGTCCGTCTGTCCGTCTGTCTGTCTGTCTGTCTGTCTGTCCGTCCGTCCGTCTGTAAACTTTTCACATTTTCGACTTCTTCTCAAGAACCACTGGGCCATTTTCAACCAAACTTGCCACAAAGTATCCTTGGGTGAAGGGGATTCAAGTTTGTTCAAATGAAGGGCCACGCCCTCTTTCAAGGGGAGATAATGAAGAATTAGTGAAAAATTAGTAGCATCTTTTAAAAATCTTCTTCTCAAGAACCACAAAGCCAGGGAAGATGAAACTCATGTGGAAGCATCCTCAGGTAGTGTAGATTCAAGTTTGTTCAAATCATGACCCCCGGGGGTAGGGCGGGGTCACAGTGGAGGATCAAAGTTTTACATAGAAATATATAGGAAAGACCTTTAAAAATCTTCTTCTCAAGAACAGCAAAGCCATGATGAGTCATATTTATATGGAAGCATCCTCAGGTAGTGTAGATTCAAGTTTGTCCAAATCATGACCCCTAGGGGTAGGGCGGGGCCACAATGGAGGATCAAAGTTTTACATAGAAATATATAGGAAAAATCTTTAAAAATCTTCTTCTCAATAACAGCAAAGCCATGATGAGTCATATTTATATGGAAGCATCCTCAGGTAGTGTAGATTCAAGTTTGTTCAAATCATGACCCCCGGGGGTAGGGCGGGGCCACAATGGAGGATCAAAGTTTTACATAGAAATATATAGGAAAAACCTTTAAAAATCTTCTTCTCAAGAACAGCAAAGCCCTAATTGGTCATATTTATATGGAAGCATCCTCAGGTAGTGTAGATTCAAGTTTGTCCAAATCATGACCCCTGGGGGTAGGGCAGGGCCACAATGGAGGATCAAAGTTTTACATAGAAATATATAGGAAAAACCTTTAAAAATCTTCTTCTCAAGAACAGCAAAGCCCTAATTGGTCATTTTTATATGAAAGCATCCTCAGGTAGTGTAGATTCAAGTTTGTTCAAATCATGACCCCCGGGGGTAGGGCGGGGCCACAATGGAGGATCAAAGTTTTACATAGAAATATATAGGAAAAATCTTTAAAAGTCTTCTTCTCAGGAACAGCAAAGCCCTGGTTGATCATATTTATGTGGAAGTATCCTCAGGTAGTGTAGATTCAAGTTTGTTCAAATCATGACCCCCGGGGGTAGGGCGGGGCCACAATGGAGGATCAAAATTTTACATAGAAATATATAGGAAGATATGTTCTGATGAAGAACTGCAAAGCCATGATTAGTCATTTTGATATGGAAGCATCCTCAGGTAGTGTAGATTCAAGTTTGTTAAAATGATGACCCCAGGGGATAGGGATGGGCCATAATGGGGGATCGAAAATTTTACATAGGAACATATAGGAAAATATCTTCTTCTCAAGAACTGAAAATCATGTTTAGTCATTTTGATATGGAATCATCCTCAGGTAGTGTAAATTCAATTTTGTTTAAATGATGACCCCCGAGGGTAGGGTGGGGCCCAATAAGGGGATCAAAAGTTTTACATAGGAACATATTGAAAAAAATTTCTTCTCAAGAACAGAAAAGCTATGTTTAGTCATATTGATATGGAAGCATCCTCAGGTAGTGTAGATTCAAGTTTGTTCAAATGATGACCCCTGGGATAGGGAGGAGCCACAATGGGGGATCAAATTTTGACAGAGGAATATATGGGAATTTTTTTTAACAATCTTCTCAAGTACAACAAAGCCATTTGTTAAAACAAATTATATATTGACATGGAAGCATCATCAGGTAGTTTAAAATTCAAGCCCCCCCCCCCCCCCCCCCCCCCCCCCCCGGTAATCTTTTCAATACTGAACTGATTTGTGCTTTTGCCTTGCCAATGTGCTCAGGTGAGCGATGTGGCCCATGGGCCTCTTGTTATAGAGTGCAAACTTGCTCAGAAACTATTTTCACATATTTCATTGATATTATCATTTTACACATTATATCAAAAGACAAGTCTGAGCAAACTGCAACTGGATATTTTCCAGTTGAATTATCAATGTAAAATATGCTAGGCCTTTTTCTCTCGGAATCATTGAAAAGTTGAATTTAAATAATTTTTATGACATTATCTCTAATTTAGGACACTACAGTGGATGCAAATGTCTCATGCTTTGAAGTCTGCATATATGCTCCTGACCTAGAATATAATTTAAGATTTCCCTCTCCAAGTCCATTTGGGGGGGGGGGGGGGGCAGTTATTAGCCATTTCTGAATATAGTCCTATGAATTAATACAGCAAATTTTTCATATAACAGTTAATGCATTTTTTATTAAACAAATAAGTGAAAATTATAGCCCGAGAGTTTGATATATAATATATATACATGTATGCCTGGGTGTGTGTGTGTG